TGTACCCTCTTGCTCCGTCGTGCTCAGTCGTGATCAGCTGTGCTCAGCCTGAGCACACTGATCTACACTGAGCGTTGCTGAGCACGTCACGTGCCTCAGCCTTGTGTGTTTCCTGCTTGTGTGGCCCTCGCGGGTCGGCACACCTGCCTACCCGGTTCTCAGTCCTGGTCGCAGAAAAGGCTGTGTCTAACAATAGTATCGACCATATACTATAGAGATGACTTATATATACGCTTATCGTTAGATTCTACCTACTTGCTAAGGAATTCCTAACACTAACGTATTTCTTTTTCGAACGCGAGAATAAACGTCTAAAATCCACTTTAGAAAGATCATAATATCTTCTTTAGTGGTATATATAAGAAAGTTAAGCCTATCTTCTCTAAGAAATTTATAATATCTAACTATGTTAGTATCGGCGTCTCTTCTTAGTATATTCATAGAATATAAATTCTTACTTAGTTTATTTTATCATTATACCCTAAATATTTTCTTTCGTTAAGTCTATATATCGCATTTTTACAGTACTCTTCTCGGTAAGTTATTATCGATGGCGTCGATAATACTTAGACGAGAGTTAGGCGACTATCCTACGACTAAAATCTTATATAACTATTCGGCCTCGTAGAAACTACTCTTCTCTATAATTCTTTATCTTTAGTAATAGCTTATAGTGCGGAGTAGTAGCTTATACGTAGAATAGTATAGCTAGTAAAGAGATTCTATATAGAGAGCAGAGAGAGATAAAGATCGCGATCGCTAGTCTAAAGATAAAGCTTAGTTATAGTCGGTCGTATATATAAAAGATAGATAACGAGACGCGATTCGAAAGAACTTCGTAAAGATTAGAGAAGATACTCTTCTATATAGACTATAAGAAGATTCATCGAGATTCTTACTACGCGTCCGTTTAGGCGCCATACTTAGGGCAGTAAAGGTATCTATTTTATCGGTGAATAGACGATTCCGTTGTGTCTAAAGGGGAACTATTTCTGGTCCCACTAAAGCCGGCTTAGATGGAGAGTCGAGTTTACGACGAGGGGAGACTAGAGTCGGGCATTCTTGGCACCGAGGGAAAACCACCTCCAAAAGCGGCGGCGCCTACCGCCATATTCGGAGGGAAATTTCCCTGCAACTTGCGTTGATCCGTAAAGTATAACACGGAATCGACGCTATTCGGTGCTGTCCGGCCCTGTTCGGCACCCTTTCCAAGCAACAGCGATGAGATTTAGTCGGAAGAAGCTGGTAAGCGTCCTAGCTACTGTCGTCCTCTCCTACTCAGACGAACTGCCATGTGGGGTATGTTGGGGAAGCTTCGAGACGGACTGTATAAAGGGATGACCATTTCATTGAGCCATCACGCATCAAGCATGATCTTCACCACTGCCACACCATCTTCCAAATTCGACCTTACCACACCGGTCATAGGCAGTGTGCATCCCTTTCGCGCGCCTTGGGGTCTCTTTTTGGTCCTAAACGGGTTCATATTTAGTCTCTCAAATATCGGTAAATCTACTTGTAAAGACCTACGTTCACATCAGCAAAATTTCCCACACGACCCTGAGAGCCCCGGGCCGCCCTGGGCTGTCAAGGTAAGTCTGCGTCTTATGCAACCTATGAGACCGCTAGGCTCGCTGAGCTACTCTAAGAGGGCCCTAGGCTAATATAATAATTTATAGCTTTACGAATATATAATTATACTAGTCGTTTAAACTACTACTAATTAAGATTAAATTATATAAGAATTAGAGAATATACATATATTAAATATAGGGTTTCATACTAAATCTTAAATTATTAACTTAATAGCGTTAGTATTCACTTTTAGCGTAGATCTTATTTCCGAAATGGGAAAGATTCTTTTAAATTTAATAGTATTATATTATAAATATATTATAAAAGTTACTAAAAATAGATAGTCTATAAAAGCTCATAGCCTAGATATAAAAGCTGTGAGGTACCGTGGGCTCCCTGGGCCTCCTGGTCATTTAAGAAGGCTATGGGCCGCGGGAAAAATTGCCGATGAGACCTTCGAACGAAGTGAGCGGATATTCATCATTACTACGCAATAGAGCTACATAGAAGGCGGCCAACTAAGTAGTTTGAGTACATAAGAGGGGGGCTGGGTTAGGATCCCCTAGTATCTCAAATGGGTCCCATCATCTAAAGTTGACGAAAGTTGATGTTGTGAATGAAAAGGAGGAGAGAAGACCAAAAGGCTCAGGGAGGGCTCAGGAAGCAGCAGGTGAGCCGAGGGTGAGCAAAGCGGCGAGCGGCTAATCATAAATGGACGATGAAGTACCTCGTATGTTTTTCGTTCTCGAGTACCTAGCGAGCTAGGTAGGCTTTGGGCTGAGCTCCAAAAGCTTCTCCTCCCAGTTGTTTCCGGAGCTGTTTCCCGTCAATTGGCAAAGACCCTTCGTTATTAAGTCATTACTCCCTCTTCTAGACTCTCGGTGTCCTCTCTCACTCCGTCTATTTCACTTTTCTTCACTCTCCAATGCCGCTACCCAGACCAGCCGCCTTCCGGGGCGCCCTCCAGACCTTTTCTCTGAAACGTGCGGGAACCCAAGCTCGAACTAGTCTTCGTGGAGTTGGTCGGAGGACTTATGCCACCGAGCATGGCGCACACAAGAGTAGTGACATTCCCTGGTTAGTTACCTCTCTACGGACGGAGCTGTCATTGTCACTGACACAACTTTGGCAGGCTAGTCGGCTCCCTCGTCGTGACTGTCCCAGCTGCGGGTTGGTTGTTGCAACAAGGACCTCAAAAGTCCGACCATGGCCACGGCTCCCATACCAAGGAGAAGCACGAGGAAGCTCCTCCTGAAGCGTCAAAGGAAGAAGAAGAAGAAGAACCCGCAAAGGAAGATACAGAGGGCACAAAGGAAGGAGGAAAAGAGGAAGAGAGCCAGGACGAGGGTAGAGAAGAGTCCGCTAGCGAGGGGGACGATAAAGAAACGTAGGTTTTGCCAGCGAGATGATGCTTCTGCTCGCGAAAGTCCAAGTTGGAGTTGAAGACTAACGCCTATGCTCAGAACTCCCAAAGGGACTGCATTACCAGAGGACCAAGCCAAACAGTCTGAGGAGAAGGGCGCCAAAGACGTAAGTTGGACTCTGCCGGTGCTCGGAAAGAGATTTGGTTTGCTAAATTCTGGCAGGCCCAAGGTGATGTTTCTGGAGCAAACAATCCCTTCATGGGCGAGGCAGACAGAAGCAAGAAACCCGAGGGTATGGATGCGACGGCGAAGCTTCACGGAACCGTTGATACCTCACAGCGGTCCAGTAAAGGCCACCACGAGACGGGTCAGAAGGATGACTGATGCCTGGAACGACTTGGCTATTGGAACGATGACGAAGAGGCTCCTGCATTCAAGTTGGGTGCTGGAAAGTGTGGCATTGTCGGACAATATCCAAAGCCACGGCGGTAATTACTGTATAGAAAAAGCATTCTGTGATCCAACATCATTTCGCAATTTCGTTCCAGCAGAGTGAGTTGGCTAGTAGGCATGCATTACGCCCCGTTGATGCCCAGTGTAAAGGCGCTGTAAGTGCGAGGGCGATACGCGGAATACGGGTGATACGAGCAATTTGAGGATTCTGGATTTTCCCAGGAGATTGCTGTTGGGTCCCATTGACCCCCTCAATGCAAACTACTATTACTGCGGACAGCGACGGAGCCTGTTGCGGAGGCTTACTACAATATTATATGACATGGCCATTTCACATGCCCTTTTGGGTTTCGCACAACTCTCAACCACCCTTTTAAACGTTCCCTCACATAACCACATTCTGTTGCCTTCGGAACGTGCGGTCTCTTGTTGACATCATTTTCGACAACATGGCTCGTCCACGGCGAACGTCAAGCAACCTTGGAGGTGATCCCCGGGGAGACACCAGCGCACCTGCACTCGCTACCATGGCAGCGCGCCCAACTTCTGTATGATGAAGCAGCAATCATCCCGAGGGCTAACCATCTGACTCTTGACAGGCAAACGAAAAAGACGCAAAACCCCATTCGAAGAGACGGAAAGCAAGGTCGGCCTTTCACAAATGGAAGCAAATATCCTTGCGGCACACCTGGCTAAACCCGCTCATCCTCACCGTTGCGATACTCGTTGCCTACTACATCAATCCCGGAGAGCAGAACCCTTTTCACAAGGCGATTTTCTTATCCTACAATCTCGGGCCTGATTATCTCGGCGGACCTGACATGTATGGCAAGGGGAAAGCAGACATTGCCTTTGTGGCCTTTTACACGATCGTCCTGAGCTTTACCAGAGAATTTTTAATGCAGAGATTGATCCGTCCCATTGCCATCAGATGTGGCATCAAAAAGAGAGCGAAGCAGTCACGCTTTATGGAACAAGTCTACACGGCCATCTACTTTGGCATTTTTGGTCCGTTTGGCCTTTATGTCATGTCCAAGGGGACCCTTTGGTACTTCAATACTACGGCCATGTTCGAAGGGTTCCCTCATCGAAAGCATGAGGGTGTGTTCAAGGCATACTACTTGTTGCAGGCGGCCTACTGGGCTCAGCAAGCCCTCGTCCTCATGCTGCAACTGGAAAAGCCTCGAAAGGACTTCAGAGAGTTGGTCTTTCACCACATTGTCACCCTCTCCCTCATTGCGTTGAGCTACCGCTTTCATTTCGCTAAAATGGGCATTGCTGTCTACATCACCCATGACATCAGCGATTTCTTCCTCGCGGTAAGCTGTGGCCCTGCGCAGAGCTGACTATCTCCAAAACTGACCGCTTTCAGACTTCCAAGACCCTCAATTATCTAGATTCGATCATCGTAGGACCCTATTACTTTCTATTTATGTGCGTTTGGATTTACCTTCGCCACTGGATCAACCTGCGCATTTTGTGGGCAACCCTCACCGAATTCCGGACCGTGGGACCTTACGAGCTGGACTGGGAGACTCAGCAATACAAATGCTGGATTAGCCAGATCATCACATTTGCCCTTCTCGCATCCCTTCAAGCCGTAAACCTCTTCTGGCTGTTCCTGATCCTCCGCATCGCCAAGAACTTTGTCTTCTCGAATGTCCGGGCTGATGAACGAAGTGAAGACGAGGATGAGGATGAGGAGATCGAAGATGCGCCAAGTGAAGGAAAGAAGGCCTCAGAAAATGGCAAAATCGCTGGAGGCAAACCAGTTGTTCTCGTCAATGGCGAGCCTGTGGAAAACGTGTCCAAATCAGACGGAGTACGCGAACGGAAGAGGAAGAGCTGAGGGCAGAGAGGCAGACAGACAGCAAGAGTGTCAGAGCCCCGGGAGCCTTTGGGCTTGCGAAGCTGCCAAATCCACTGGGTAGTAATGGACATGTACGATTCGAGAGGAGCGTTCAAGTTTTTAATTGATTGCAGCCTTGGAGCTAGTTGATGAAGAGAGCGCGGGACTTGCAAATGGTAGTACTACTGGCGAGAGATGTCATACCCCAATACCAGTATGCTTCCAATACCTCCCACTTGAACTTCGTTCACAACCTATTGCTGCCACCCATCATTATTCCATCCCGTCCTTGCCGTGGTCAGAGCCTGAGAAAAGCTGATTCCTCTCCATCCTGACCTCGCGCCCTAACTCACCTTGCTCTCTGCAGTAATGCCAGAGGAGTGATGGATCGAGGAATTGTGCTGTGTCGACCTGCATCGCAACGCGCATTGACACCACCACATCCGTCGCATTGAATGAAATGTCTCATCCTAGGCTCAAACATCACGCGTGGACTTCAGCCGCAATTCAGCACAGGCTGAAACCCACATCCACTTCGTTCGATAACACTTGACCCAAGTGATCAGGACATTCTCTTTTGATCAAACATCGTCGAACCTTCCCTCCGCCATTGACGGATTTGGTGGGTTCGTCAAGGATGGCAGCCAAGCAGACACAGAAACATGGACGCTGCACTGAAGCCGCACGTCGACAATCAAGGATCAATGCTACATACATCCCACGACTCCAGCTGACATGTGGTATGATAAGACATCTCAAAAAAAAAAGGGGGGGATCTCCGGAATGCCACCGGAGGGAGCAGAAGCTTCACCACCTCTGGGCCTCGTACATCAGTTCGACATGTGGGGTAGGCTGTGCAACGGCCATTCGGGACATCCAAGTCTCACTGCGTACAAAGACTCGAGAACTCTTTGAACCACCGCTGGCGTCATGTGGAGAAGATTCGGCGGCTTCCATGGTGTTGATGGTGGTCCCAAGAGAGAAAACTGCGAACATTCTACATGGCAATCCCTCGATCGCAAGGTCCAGAATGCGGCTTTGAGTATCGGCGGCGTATTGTTAGAGGAGAACAAGCCGAACCAGCAGACATCTGAGGATCTGCAGCTGAAGGTCTGACACCCGTGGCTTCTTCAGAGTGATGAAGATAGGACAGGGCGAGACCGTTCGGCAGTTGAGATGGCCAGAGAGAGTTTAGCCACGGCCATCTGCTCGATTCTTACCCCATCTGCTAGAACATCAATTTAGATCCCTCCACGGACAGGATCCCCAGCGCATTGCCTCCTGGTCAGCCCCGTCACCCATCCTGGGAATGTCTGTGGACCAGTGGAAGCCCATCAGCTCACTCGCGATGGCCACAGATCGTGGGGCTAGTGTGTGGGGCATTTGTTGTTTCGCGAAGATGGGGAAATGCGACCACTCTCCTAGAACTTGTGTGGCAGCGTGGAGGAGCAGGGACGATGATTTTGTTCAGGACTACCCTGAGTGGCATGGGCGTCATGGGTGTTTCTTGGGATGGTGGCTCGCTCCTTCATAATCATTCATTCTCTTCGCCAAACGACACCTCGACTGCTCTTCACCAGACCCCTGGACCAACATGGAGATCAAAGCGACTGAAGAAGCTCCCTTGACCAAGTCCGCGGTTGTGACCGCATGGCAGTTTGTGGCTGCCCATCCTTTCGTGATCCTCTTCCTGCTCCTGTTTGTGCGACCTCTATGGAGACGCTATTCCTCGCCTCTGCGACAATTCCCAGGGCCATTCATCGCCTCGTGCACGCGAGCCTGGAAAGGTGGGTTCCAAAGTGCAAGCACACGGAGAGGCATTCGGAACTGACTATAACCTTTACAGTATGGAGCACTTGGTCTGGTCAGACCGAGCAACATCACATTGCGCTTCACAAGAAATATGGTAGTGGATTCACCTGTTTGGAGCCCTGGACAAAGCTGACGCCCCCTAGGCCCGGTCGTCCGCATCGCACCAAACGAGGTGTCTTTTTCGAATCCAGAAGCTGCAGTTGAATTGTTCAAGACCGGGAAGGGGTTCCACAAGACAGACTTCTATGGAGTGTTCCCACCGCCCGAGAACCCCGACATATTCACCGAGACTCGAGAGGCTGTTCACGGCGTTAAGAAGCGATATGCAGCAACTCCTTACAGCCTGGCCTCGATGCAGCAATGCACGCCTCGAATTGAGGAAACTGAAAAGCTCTTGATCTCCAAATTGGACGAGTTTGCCGACAATAATAAGATCTGCGATTTTGGCGACTGGCTTCATTTCTTTGCGTTTGATGTGAGTTAGATACCGGACTCATTCCAGTTGGCGGTGCAGACATGAAAGATCCGAATACTTACTGTTTCCAGGTTCTGGGCGAAGTGGCGTTCTCCAAGAAGTTCGGCTTTCTCGATGCGGGTGTCGATGTCGACCGTGCCATCAAGACGATCGATAACTCTCAATGGTACAACGGCATTGTGGGCCAGGTTCCCTGGCTCGACTACCTGTTCCGACGAAATCCACTATGGAACTTGATTCCGTTCATGTCCAGCAAAAATGCGCTCATCACGAAGACGGCATTGGGACAACTCCAACAGCGCCAGGGTCCGGAAGGAGAGAAAGTCGAGTATAAGGATCTGCTCAACAGCTTGATCGTGGCGCAGAAGGAGCATCCCGAAGCCCTAGGTCCTGGCGATGTGTTCGCGATTGCACACGGCGCCATTTTCGCAGGTAGCGATTCGACCGCAAGCACGATGCAAAGCTTCTTCTGGTATGTCTTGTCCAACAAGAGAATTTACGACAAGCTGGTCGAGGAGATCATGTCTGCCAATTTGTCTGAGATGGTCATGTACAACGAGGCACAGAATCTGCCGTATTTCCAAGCTTGTCTGAAGGAAGCCATGAGGATTGCTCCTGCTGTCGGGTTGAACATTACAAGAAAGGTCCCTCCTGGCGGCGCCGAGATTGACGGTGTCAAATTACCCGAGGGCACCGCTGTCGCCGTGAATGGGTGGGTCTTGCATAGAAACAAGAGTGTCTTTGGCGATGATGCCGAGGTGTACCGACCCGAGAGATGGCTCGACGATGATAAGGAGAAGGTCAAGATGATGGAGCGGTGCATGTTCCAGGTGAGTTCAAATGCACCCATAACTCCAAATCAAGACGCAGGAAATCAGGACCTAACTCAGCTTTTCTAGTTTGGTGGCGGTTCGCACGTGTGCATCGGACGACACCTTGCCCTACTCGAGATGAACAAAGTCATCCCCGAACTTCTGCGGCGATATGATATCCAGCTCGTTAATCCGGGAAAGAAACTTGACCATCATTCGAGCTTTTTCGTCGTGCAGTGGGGATTATTGACTTATATGCGGTTGAGGGGGAAGGCGTGAGCACACCTGAAGGCCGACTTTTGGATCGGACAGAATCAGATGAAATGCTTGCGTCTTGGCGATTATTGGATCGAATGGACTGTTGTCGGAGTAATTGTCTCAGCACAAGCGCTCTGGTGGAAGGGAGATACCTTGGCCGGCCTTGTGAAGGGAGGAATGGTTGTCTGATTAGCCGAGCATTTGGATGATTCGGAGGCTGCTGAGACATGACTACAGGCCTGCACGGGCAAAAGGGACGTGGAGCTCTTTTTCAGAGGATTTGAATCACCGATCCAATGGCTAGGGTAGGCTATCGCGCTGCCTCTCCTTCAACAAGGGGAAAAAAAAATCAAAATTAAACAACATACTGGCAAGCCAGACATTTTCCGCGATTGCTTGGTGACATTGGATAAATGAGCTGTGTGTTGTGGATTACTTGAATACAGAGTATGGAGTACTGAGCATAAAACAGTGCGTAAGTCGGAGGAAAGGGAGGCGAGGAGGGTCCGTCTTCTCGCTTGCCCAGCTCACCCTCTTTGGGATCAGGGGTGCCGCTGCTTTGTGCTCACCCACCGAGCCAGGTGGGCGCCAGGGCTCAGGAGTTGAAGCTGGAAGAGTCGGAATAGTAGGACCGAGAATGAAGGGCTTGCAGCTTCACTTACACACTGTTATCCAACACACCATAACTTGTCCACGCCGTGATTGAGCCACTCCGCTTCGATCCCCTGCATAGAGTTGCCGTCGCCGTGCATCGCATATACCCTAAGAGCCGCGAGGTACTTGACCTGTACAACGCTGTCTCTCTCGACGTCTTGCATACCCTCGCCCACTAGGCTTCTGACTTCTTCAACGAGAAGCCCGAGCTTGAAATTGACAGCTGGGTCATTCGGACCCGGAACAGCACTCAGAATAATCGCCAGCCTTGCGTTCGGGCTAACGAGGGATACGAGAGTGACAAAGTCCTTACGATTTTTGTCTGTCGGCCAGACAGCAAGCTCGTATCGGTCTTGATATCGAACGGCCTGATCCAACTTGACCGTGATGAAAGAGGCCGAGATGTTCAGCATCTGTGGCGAGCTGATGATGCGCCATCCCCTAAACTTGACGATCACGCCCTTGCCGGGGATCCGTCGAACCGGAACATCACTCTCTTCGTCGGGAACATCGCCGCCTATCGTCGCGGGAGCCCACTGCATGCCAAATTCCGGAAACCTCTCATCCGTCGTAAATATCACACTCTGAGGGATCGTCGACGCTGACAGCAGGATCAATTTCAGCTTGGCCAATCCGACCTCCTCGGCGTTCCGGTTATCGTCGCCGGTTCTTTGGAGAGCTAACAGCGTCTGTTTACTTGCTTGGCTGATAATACCCATAACCAGATATCTATCGCTAGGATAGGATGTGGCTCGTTTGTGCACCTCTCTCCGAGCATTGAAAAAGGTCGTCGTTTCAGAGGGCGAAATTCTGTTGATCATCAGACAATTTTGGAGCACTGCGTGGATGTATTCTTCCTCCATTCCGGCGAGTATTCGCCATTCATTTCCCTCTCTGCAAGGAGACCTCGCTTTCGCCATCTGGTAATTGATCACTCGCAGATTGGCGAGGCCCCTGCCCGTCTTGATTATTAGCTCTTGCGCAACTGCTCCCTTGTGCAACGTCTAGACACGGCGGGACCAGCCACAGAACTTCAATTGCATACCGAACTCGAGGACGGACGTGATATCAGCATTCTCGAGGGCAGAGTCCAGAACTACCACCACCTCTGCCTTTCGGTAGATCTCTGACATGGACAAGATAGCCTTGGTGCGGAGCTGCCACATACGATCGTCAGAACCTCGCGGCACACAGAAAGTGTCAATCCAAAATAGAAGAAGATTCTCGCTAAGCGCGGAGCAGATGTCCAAATCTCTTTTCTCATGCTGCTGTGCGCATTCTTGGTGCCAACGCCATTGACATTCATATAACTCGTTACCCGACACGTTTCCTCTACCATCGGCCCAAACGTGGCTATAAGCAAGATAGCGGGTGCTGGGGCCCGCTGGCACGATTTCGAGGTCGATACTGCCACCAAGACTGTGAGATCGAGGCTTTAGTCTCACCAGAGGTATCCCGCCCTGTTCGATGATTTTAACCATGGTATCCCATGCCTCGCGTGGCATAATCTCCAAGCATGTGCAGCTATGCTGGACGTGTTTCTGCTTTTTACTCTTGAGGCTTGATGTTATCAGCCTCACATCGTTCTGCCGTGCAAGTCGAGTGGTTGCCTCTCTTGTTGTGGCTGGGAAGCGTGACTGCCATACATGCGGTAACAAAGCCATAAATGCCTTCGAAATGGTGGATATCACTCCTACAAAATCCCAAATTCTCCAAGAGACGGATCAGAAAAGGAGGTGTGTACCAACCTCCCGCGGAACGTGCATTGTTTTCAGAAGAAGACAGACTAAGCTCTGCAGAAATGACGTCCATGGCATACGTAATCGTGTATCCAAGGCAGCACAGGGAAAGTTCGAGATCGTGAGGGAAGACTTCGCGGCCATGTGCTGCCCAAATTTGTGCTCTATCGTCAGTAGGGCTCTTAGTGGCTTTCTCGATTTGACCAGACAGCACTCTAAGAAGGAAGAGACCCCTTGCGAGAAGGTCGTTTGCGTTTTTGATGTGCGTCGTGGCGCCAGCTGGATCCGCGGCTTGCAGCCTCTGCGCGGCAGCGACCAAATCGCGCTCTAGAAATTTCATCGTTATCAGCACGGGACAGTTTTCATCTGGTCTCCTCTGTTGTTCACAGTAATCCTCAATTTCCACCGTGCTGCACTGAAAAAGGCATTCGTGCAACAACCCCCAGTAAAACCAAGACTGTATGAGGGAGGCATACACAGACAACGGCCGCCGCGTAAGGAGGGAATGGTTCCCGAGGAAGAGACCCTCCATGAGTTCTCTAGAGTCAAAGCCTACACGTTCCCCGAACCCGTGGAATCCTCCTCCGTCATACGGGACCTCATCGTGCCGGAGCCTGATCGGGATGATTTGCTTCAGAATATGGCCGAAGAGCGGGAAGTGGTCCATGTCGACCCGGTAGTAGTACTGGTCACATATCCCTCCCTGGGGGAGCTTGGAGGGCAATCGTATAACTGCCGACGGAATTTCACTCTTTGCGCATCTAGCAGGTTGGTGTAGCCGTGAGAGCTTGAGTCAAGGAGTAGTCTTGCTGCCAAGCTAGGCAGGCAACAATGGGTTTTGCCTCACGATGTGACACGTCGAGACGTTTACGAGGCACGCCCAAACGAAATATATTATCACGTGCCGCCTACCATGCAACGGAACCAAAGGCAGGCGTGACCGCTATTGCTATGCAGCAGCATAAAACGCAGTCCAGGACTTTGAGCGAGGGCATGGGTCCGCCACTCAGCGGTTGGGCGTCGGCGTTCTTCCAGTGAAGTTGTCGTCAGGTACACGCTGAATGTACACCCTGCGAGATAAAAGCCCTTGGAGTTTGGCGGCCGGCTAGGTTGGATCTGCTCGCTCCCAAAACCCAGCGTATCATACAGAGAAAGTCCTGTCCGAGTAACTAATTCCTCGGGAAAGATCGGTATGTTCTCTCGATCAGGGAAGAACAAAGATTTCGTAAATGAAACGGTCTCCGGGGAAAACAAAAAGGGGCGGCGCAGCAAGATTGTGGACGATGATCTAAACGTCACATGGCGTGCTCCATCCTGTGTAAAATGTCTATGCCGCAGAACTGACAAGGAACCTTTCATGCCTTCGTAGGAGATCCAGACGCCAAATAAAGGTAAGATTTCGGGCACTTCGATCGACAAGGGCTGGACGGCGCGTGGTACTTGAGCAATATCTGCCCAACCTCACGCCTTTCGTCTGCCAGCCAGTTAATGATCCAATTCGCAACAACCTCCAGAATGGTTTGGATGTTAAGTAGGCATTCGCGGAACCTAGTTGATCTCAGTGGTATGCCTCATCTCCACGAATAAGTACTGATAGGGCATTTCAAGGCCACGGCAGGCTGCCGTATTTCTCAGCAATTGTTCTATCCGTGAACTGCTGTATGATTGTTTGGGGAAAGCTCTCGCACAGCCTAGGCCGATCTGTCCAGGCACGCGACAGAGCAGGTGCCTCAGAGAAGCGAGGCAGTGTCAGGATCTTAACGGGAATATTGACACACACCGAGAGAGTCAGGCCATGTCGGATAGAGCACATGAGAGATTAAGAAGGAATTGAGCGGAAGTCCTTAGTAGTCCCAGGGTTTTGTGGCGCAACATAGCCTGTGCATGGGACATGTATGAGGCAAAAGTGCCACTCCACCAGACGCCAAAGTCCACGAAGGACAAGAGACACGTTTGACTAGATGGGGAGGCCGGAAGAATAAATATATTACTCGACCCCCTCCAGTGCAAAGTGTTGAGAGGAGCTGACGCGGTGGCCAAATGATGGGGAGGGTGGTGGATGGATGGTGGACGGAGCTGTAACACGATCCAGGACTCACTCTCGGTTGCATACTAGCCAATCACATTGCGCTCATGTGACACTAACCCACAAGGCTCCAACCTTCCCTCGAGGAGAAAATCTCACACATTCTTACACAATAGTCCCTTCTCAATGGCAAGGCTCTACCCAACAGTCCTAGGCTCGCGACATGGAATCCGACTTTTGATGATTGATCCACTCCGGTGTGGAGGCGATGACGGCCTTGACTCTAGTTGCCAGGTAGCCTTTCGTCCGGTGGAATTACTGGCACTCGAGCTACTGATATGTAGCCCGGTTTCAGACGCCGGCGACTGAAGTGGCAGTGCAGCTTCAGAGCTACATATATATGCTGCAAACATGGTCCTGGTGCGTCAAGTTCAACAAAGCTGCCAGCACATCGCACGTACACACAATAACCTGCCAGGGAAAATACAATAACACTTCTACAGAATGCCCCCTCAACAAGACACGATGCTATGTAATGCATGCATCGACCTATTGTCGGTGGTCAAGACACATCCACCGGGAAACTGGACTGGCACCAAGCCAGCCCTCTTTGAACACCCTGAAGGACCGAACGAATGGGCAGGCTCTCACCACGTCGGTGCAGGTGACTTCTATGATGCTGTTCGGCAGGGGTGCTACATCTGCTGGACAATCTATAGAGATTGCAGCACCGAGCTTCGAGAACAAGCGCATACATTTCGCACGTTCTACCAACTCCGTGCCCTCGACGCGGATGGCTCTGCTCCGCACTTGGAGGACCATTACGAGTTAGAATTTACTACCGAGATCCTAAATGGAGATGCACCAATTGCTAAACAGCAGGTTTTCGACTGCAGCGGCGTTTTTAAAATTCTTCCGAAGAACGGTAAATATCTCGATCGCAATTACTGTCGGCTCTGCCACTAACGGATCTCTCTAGAGGTGTCTGCTTCGGGTGAACCACTCGCTTTAACACCAAATACATTTTCAGGAAAATGTAAAGACCAAGTTCGGCAATGGCTTGATAATTGTCGTGCGACGCACGTTCGATGCAACCAAGACTGGCGCACTGGAGCTGGTTCTCCTGCCCGGTTACTGCACATCAACCCGACCACTAGGGACACGTTCCGACTGGAAAAGTTTGCAAATAGATCCCGGCCCCCTAGATATGTCACGCTGAGCCATTGCTGGGGAGCTGGAACAGCAGTCACATTGACGACAGCGAACCAACAACATCTATCTGCGGAGTGGTCTCCGATAAATTCACTTCCAAAAAGATTCCAGGATGCTATGCAAATTACCAGCTGGATGGGGGTTGAATACATCTGGATCGATGCATTATGCATTATCCAAGACTCCAGGGACGACTGGCTTGCAGAGAGCACGAAGATGGGCGACATCTACACAAATTCGTTTTGCAACATTGCCGCTACGAGCGCAGACCCTCAAAAGGGATGTTTTACGGAGAGGCTCGTCTATATGGTGGAGCCATATCCGTTGTCCGATCCTCAACTGCACGACAGAGAAAAGACTTACGTCATCGGCTATGATGATTTCTGGAGCAACAGCCTTACCGACACGGCTTTACATACAAGAGGATGGGTTCTTCAAGAGCGCTTGCTCAGCCCACGGACTATTCATTTCGGGCAGGAGCAGATATTCTGGGAGTGCCGGTGTGAAATGGCCTGCGAAGCATATCCTGATGGCATCCCCGAGCAGTTCCACAACCGAAAAATGCATGCTTGGAGGCAGGCAGACAAAATCCTCGATCCAGCATACAAGCGACCATCCGATGTGTCATTGATATCCAAATACCTGCCGAGACTGATCTCGACTTGGCTAACACCGGGCTCAAAAACTGACGAGCCTTACTGGGTCTATGAGGTCTGGAGCAGGATCGTTGAAGCATACATGGAATGCAAATTGAGCTATGGCGAGGACAAACTCGTCGCGATTTCCGGCATTGCTCAAAAAGTCACTGAAGCCACAAATGAACGATATCTTGCTGGGCTGTGGGATAATGCACTGTTACAACAGAGCCTGCTCTGGCATGTCTTAGGCAGAAGGCAAGCTGACGGCACTCCATCGGTGAGGAGTGCCTCAGCAGGAGACGAGAACTATCGGGCTCCATCCTGGTCCTGGGCGTCCTTGGAAGCCAAGGTCATCTGGAACTGGCCTGCCAAGTGCGACAAGGTCGTCATGGACATCTTGAGCACCAATGTCGAACAGCCCAAGGGCAGCAGACTGGCCAAGGTATCATCAGCGCAGATGAAGATTCGAGGTTCTCTATTTGAGGCTTGCCTTCAGATTGCGAGTCGGGATATGGACGGAAACCCCGAAGAGGACGGCCTATATACGTTGGTGCTCGACAGTCAAGACAACTCCAACAACCTGCAACAATACTCGATGGAGCCCACCATCTACTTGGATACGCCAATGATGCCAGAGTCTGATTCCATGGGTGTGTTTCTCCTTCCTATTTGCACACAATGGCAGGAGCGATCTGGAGTGGAAGCAACAACTCTCGCCGGCCTGCTGTTGAGGAAAGTGGTGTCGCTCACAGCCGGGACGAGGTACGAAAGAATTGGGATATTCGGGTTGGATTACAGCCAGACATGCGCGATCTGCGGCATTCGCCCCGACGAAGCCCGCTCCATCGAAAGTATATCAGAGGGTATGAGAAGAGAAGACATACTCCTCATATAACGGAGGACACTGTCGACATTTATCTTGGAGCAACTCCTTGCGTTATTCGGCCAAAACGGCCGAGGAGCTGGATTTTCCACTCAATGACCTGCATCACTGCACCATATCTCGTGGAGCATGGGCAGGACGAGGGGGAGAATCTGGACAATGTTTCGTATGGTTATGAGCAATTTTAGGCATGTAGCTCAGACTAATGATTATCCCGTATCATGTGCAGAGCTGGAGGAAGTTCTCTTGAAGATTGACCTGAGCGAATGGCCTCAGTCACGTTTCAGGATGCCGCAGGACGGGTTAGGACTCTTCGCACGGCTAGAAATGCCACAGATGGAACAGCGTTTTTCGTAGATTCGGAGCATTTCGTGGTAGGAAGTTCGAATAGCCTGACTAACATTGTTCATTATAAGCTCGGCTTAACCCAACTAAGATGTTATCCATTTAATGCTCTAGGAGGCTTTGGAATAGTGTTAATTGTGTGCTGTATCCGTCACATGTTTGACTGATGCGACATCTATGTATGAGGCTGGTGAGGCTGGTGAGGCTGGTGAGGCTGTAAGAATTGGCAGTTGCGGTCTAGGAGAGAAGCGGTGGGCTTTTAGCTGAGTTCAACCATTTCATCACTTGTAATTCCGGGCCAATGCCTCTTTGATGTCGTCTTCTGCTGCAGTGGAGAGATCCAGAGGAGATCAGAGGAGATCGATAGATCATCCAAGGAGGTTGCCGGTTGAAGGAAAGACTTTCATGCAGGCAAAGGCGCCAATGCAAGCCACACCAAAGGCCCCTGGGACTTTTTGGCTCGCCCCCAACAAGTCGAGAACAGGTGCTTTTTGCGCCTTCGACAACACTCAACGACTTCGGACAAACTTCATACATGTCGGGTAACTGCTATGGGACAGTTTCATGCCGCAGCACACGACCAAAATGCTGTCTCCTGTCGCACGAGCGCGCAGAGTGAAGAAGTCAAGGACTTGCGCTCCTGGACATGGACTTTTGGACATGTTTCACAGCTCGACAAGGGAGGAGACGGAGGGTCCCAGTGTGTGCCCTACAAGCGTGCACCCCTTGACCACTAATAAGCACCACGGCAAGCCTCCGGGCACCCAGCAGGGCCACCGGCGCCCTCGGCAACAGCCACTGCCACTGCTAAACACACCAAAGTCATGCCTATCATCTTGCTCATTGGTGACCGTGTGCGAAAGGGCCAGAAAATTACGGAGTAGTTTGAGCGAAAGTCCTCACCCCCAGATTGCGATTTTCTCCGTCTCTCGCACGAACAGTTGAGAGGGTCTGATATCATGGGAGATATATATCTTAGGGCGGTCACCCCAATGATTCGCAATTTCTGAGGTTGGTCTTTAATACCCGTCGCCTGCTCCCAAGGTGCAGTAAACCACATTTACATGGGAATGAATCACGCAGCCCTCTCTTCGCAGCTCACCAGAGGTTCCTACTATGTCGATTGGCACAGTCCTCCTTGAAGGTTTTGTGCCTCTAGCACGTGTGCCTCGGTCTGTCTGACTCGGCCACTGTGTTATGCACAATGCACAGGCTGCCTTCTCACTGATGTGTTTTTGTGATGACTGGATGAAGGGCTCCCCCAAGGTCTTCCTCCTGTCATGCCAACCTGGCCCCCCTCCGGGTCCGGGTCGACCATGCCTCAACAAATGGACTTGGCGACCTTTCCCAAACGAAGGTCTCTCTCATCATCTCCTTGTCGACGAATCAAGTACGAGTGGTACCAGGACTCAGCTCTCCACTGCGGGACAACGCGTCACTGGTCAGTACTCATGGTCATGCACAGATGGGCAATGAGCTATGATGCCATTGTCCATGAAACAGTCGTCCCAAGTATGGGTGGTGTCGAATGCTGCCCAATTCCTGGCTTGCGGCTAGCTTTCTCGATGTGGAAGACCACTGGGTGCTAGGCACTGAGACGAGACATGTTCTGTACGCGGTTTTGGGATGTAATGATGGTAAAGCGGCCGACAGTGTCGTCGGCACCCCAACGCAGCCCAACATCGGCTGCTCACGAACTGGTGGGATGGGTTTTCGTCCTTTGGTTTCGTCGTTGAGCTTACCTTCCTCCCTCGAGCACTCCACCGCAACCACCAGTTCTTCCATTCCCTCTCTTTCATCCTCGACTTTCCCACTGTCTTCAATCACCCATGATCCTCATCCTTCTCCTACCCCTCAAGACTCCAGCTCTATTCATCTCTCCTCCTATCTTCGGCTGTCTTCAACCTTTCCGCTGCAAGCAATTCAATCACCACACTCGAAGAAATAATCCACTTGCTAGAAATTTCCAATTATCTTTCAACACAGTGGACTACTTCACTTTTTACGGGCAATTCAACTTCTGATTTTGAAGATGTCGCCTTTTATCAAAATACCTATCCACTCACCGCCTCCCAACCATGCCCACATCACTCCCCTGGCAGAGCAACAACGTACTCGCATTTCTCCTAGTTCCGAGAACCCTTATGTGTATTCACACCCAGCAACGCCTGCGTCGCCATCAATCGTCTATTCCGTAGGCTCTCCAGGAAATTCCTTGGCTGGGGAAAATACCCAAGCCGACTTTCCAAACAACCCAAATGCTGCCCGCCGGTGCGGTCATGGATACTTAGACGATGGCGAGATGACGCCCAAACAACGTGAGTGGTAACCATCTCGTGCACGACTCGTCTGATAGTTCCCCAGGGACAGAGGTCGAAAAGGCGGCCATTAAGGAACTGGGAGGCCTGTACTGCGACTGCGGGAAGAAATTCAGAGGAAAATATGCAAAGACTAACTTGACCCGACATGTTCGAGAGCAAGGCACTCGCGTTCGATGTGCCTATTGTACTAGCGACTTTGCTCGTCCCGGAAATCTACACTGGCACTTACTCGAAAAACACCCTTCGCAAGTCTGCATGCATTGCGGCTCAGTTCCCTATCCCAAGCAGACGCCCCCTCAACGTTTCAAATGCCCGAAATGCCCAAGAACTTTCTCAACACTGGATGATTTATATCGACACTTGGACACGAGACATCGCTGAGATGGGTAAGTTTGAGATTGGATACTTTTGAGGCTGGACTGCAGAGATATTGGGTTTCTTGTAGAAGTTGATCGGCTTGAGGCGTTTGAAAGATTTGCTTTTCCCATCAACGCTTTATTCGAATCCGGACGATGGATGAAAAGCGATGATATGAGATGGGCCAAACAGATACTGGCCAAAATATAATATATGTCACCAGTACTTCCATGGTCTTCCACTCAATCCCTTAGCTTCCCGTGCAAGATTTGCAAACTTCATGTTCCCCTGTTTTGCCCTCCACACTTGACGCACCTCCATACCACCTCTACGACACAAAGTAGTTTCGCCCTGGCCACATTAATGCATATCTATTCTTTTACATAGCACACTAGTCGCACAAAAAAACAAGATTCGGTTCCTTTGAGGCTGCCAATGGGCTACCTATGTAGAAAATTGACAATGAAAGATGAAACAAGCATGCATGGTACCCTACTAGAGCGACAGACTGTGCTCCCTCTACAAGGGATGGAGATGGAACATAGAGATGTGAAAAGCAAAACATGCAAGCACCAAAGAACAAGAAGATGCAGACCTACATCCAAAGTCGCAACGGTTGGGAACCGCCCAAGGGAAGGCCCATTGGCTTGGGTGATTGGACTACCTACATAGGTGTTAACGGCCTGAGGCCACCGTTAAACAGGCCCTGGAAAAGGCGCCCGTAGTTTGAAGCCCCGGGGTATGCAGCAGGCCTAGAAAATAGAGATGTGAAGCCTACGAGAGCCTAATCAGAGACCTGCTGCAGGTAGGTTGGGTTGGATAGTGAGAGTAAGTAAGTGGCCTTCGCCGTCCAGAGCTGGGTGGGTATGGGCAGGAGCGAGCGAAGGAACAAGGGAGGCAGGGCAGGGCGATGTTGGTCGTCGGTGACGCAGCACACGGAAGGCGGAGTGGCGAAATCTCGAAGCGCAGTGGTAGGTGATAGTGAATTGGCCCCCTGACCTGAGCCAACACCACCTACGTACCTAGTTCCTCTTCGTGGCCCATGGGAGTGAATTTCCATATCCGGTAATTGAAAACTCTCTAGAAGGGCCTGGGAAGAAGGGGCAAGAAAACTCCTCCTCGTAGGTAGGACACACAACTACCGTCAAACTACAAAGTGAGCTGGCCAATTATGTTTGTACAGATTTTTAATAATAGATACTAACTAACTGGGTGGGTAGAAGGGCAACAAGGTAAAGAGAGCCGAGAAGGATGTGCACTCCACAACAGCAGAAGCCAGCCGACGAAAAAAAAAAAAAAGCAAAGAGTGGAACACGACACACAACTAGCGATTGGTGCGCGTTGTTGAAGAAGCAATCATGGTGACGAGGACACAGTGCATGTACAGTACTTGTAGGTAGTTAGTTTGGGCTGGCCCGGGGTGAAAGACAGCCGAGGAGCCTCCCTTGCCCCCGCGTGGCCCTGCGAGCTAGCCTTGCCGATAAGTTACGTTTGTGTCTGGAAACACCATGTCGGCGAGCGGGCGAGCGAGCGCAGGGTGACTGATTGAGTTTGGACAGGCCGATATGACTTCCTTTAGCAGATGGAGGGGGCTTCTCACATCCGCGCGCAGGAGAAAAGGCGCACAGAGAGACAGAGACACCACAGATGAAGTTCAAAGTTGTCGACGTCAGGCGACCAATAGGATTGACGCAACTCGGGCCCGGCCCAGGCCCAGTCCCAGTCCGCTAGCCTGGGACTTGCTTAGATCCACTTGGGCTGATCCAAGAAGCTAGCCTAGACCGGAATGAGTTAAGTCTCTGGGGGAGGCCCACATATTTCCGTCTTCCGTCTTCCGTCTTCCGTCTGGCATCAATGGGCGGGCAGATTTCTGTTTTCAAGTTAGCTAGAGTCCCTTGTAATGACCGTGACACAATGCAATACGTAGGTACATACCAAATACATACATGCCAAGTAAGCAGAACAGTGTCGAGTCCCGAGATTGATGTGCGGCGGATATACTTCATTACCTTACGAGGTACACAGATATAACGTCGGTTAGACAGACTGGTACCTCGCGAGTTGAGGTTTCGCTCGCTCGCTACCCGTTGTGAGGCCCTTTAGCGCCTTGGCATTTGAGTGCCACTTTAGGGAGCTGTTCTCACTGTCATTCTAGATATTAGTCACCTATGTACTTGCTCAATACAATGCCCCCCCACGTTACCACAGCTAGCTCTGTCATACAAGCCCTCTTCCTCCTCCCTGGCGTTACACTGTTGAAGGGGATGCTTGTCCTTATCAGAGGTGCTCCAGGTCATGTGGAGTGGTCGGCACAAGACTATTACTAGTACGAGAAGGTAATACCAAGTCCGTGCAGCCATGCGTCTGGCAGCACTTGGGGGGGGGGCGGCTCAGTGAGACCCACATTTGCCACCTCAGGCAGACACCAAGGACACATTCTTGCACATTCCTCACTGCCCTTCTCTTTCCTCCCGAGCCCGTTGCTCGTTCACGGTTGAGATACAATGTCTGGCGTTTTCTGGGCTGGCTATCTGCTACGTGGCTATCTACCTATCACGCAATCACCATCAGTCCGCAGAGACTGTCAGTATATCTTTTATGATTTCTCCCTACTTGTCGTATTCATAAGGCTGAGGATTAGATAAGCTTAATTTATTACTGTAGTCATGCGAGACGCCCGCGATGGTGACAAGGGGGGAGGGCAGGGCCCTCCGGCGGAGGGTTGGCACCCTGAAACGCAGGGGTTGCCGGATTTACCATCCCAGCCAGTTGAATGAGTGGCTATGCTTTTTCTCTCTCTCCATCCCTCGTATTTTTTGCTGTACCTACATACAAGTACTCATCGCACCCCTTCCTCTTCCTTCCTGGTGGATCCGATAGCTCAGCCAGGCTTGCGAAGAGAGATAAATCCTCGTCTCCAACGGCTGGGCAGCCACCAAAGACAGGGCCCTGCTGATGAACGGGTTTTAGTCTGGGAGAGGACTCGATAGCTCGCTCGATTGCGGCTCCAATGCCGTTTCAAACGCTACGAAGCAGGTCCACAAACGCGGTAAGCTTAACTATAAATTCTCCGATTGGCTCTCCTAATAGATGGCAGTTTTTAAGCTTACTCCCAAGGAACAAGAAGCCTGTTTTGCGCCCGCTCTCAATGACAGGACCTGCTGCAGTGCATACTTAGGGAGGTAGGTAGATGCGAGAAGAATCCTTCTCAGCTAGAAGCAAGCAGAGCAGTTCTTTCGGGGGAATCTTCTCAGCTGGGCGTGTTCCATCTGTTGCAAAACTAGGGGTGGCTCGACGGGCCATCGAACGTGATTAAGGGAAAAACGAGGCTCCCGTCTTCCACTGGTCCAATTCAACAATACCCAGTACAACGGTGCAAGTGTGTGAGCCAAAGTGGTATGACTAGCTCACAGTCAAGGCGAAGGCACAGACGGACTATGTTGCTCATTCCGATTCCTTTGGCACAGTGGGATGGGTGAACGTTCGCTCTTTAAAGCGGCGATCATTCGCAATAGCTAACGTTGCCCTTAGTAATTGGACAACACCACGCATCTCTGCCATGCTGCGCTCATGAATTCGTGGAATTTCTAAGAGTCTGCTTCGGTGTTGTGTCTCTGCGGAATAGATCACGACGAAAGGAGAACTGTAGCACTTGTCAGTGGAAAGGCGCCATGCAAAAGCGGCGTGATATCCACGTGATCGAAGACACGACAGCCTCGCTATGAAATTCACCTCCGCCCTCCGCAACTGCGCCCGGACTCAGACCTCCAATTCTTCGTCGACTTTCCGCCGCCGTCTGTATTTGGCTGAGTTAATGGGTCGTTCGATGATTTCCGGAACCGGCTAAAGATTGGTTTGAACTGCGCATTAAATTTAGCCGTCATGGCTACCACAACGCAAAACCCTCCCAACTCGACGTATGTTTTCATCCCACCGCATTTGCCCTCCCTGTGAAAACATAGTCCCCCACGTCCGTGACCGACCAACTGACTGACGTTTCTCTTTCCCTCAGGGTCTACGTCAAAAACCTCGAAGAGCGCATCAAGGTCGACCAGATGAAGACGGCCCTCACGGAAATTTTCTCCGAGTACGGCAATATCATCGACCTGGTCGCCAAGTCGAACCTGAAAGCGAAGGGCCAGGCGTTCGTGGTCTTTGACAGCCCGGACTCGGCCGCAAGGGCCATTGAAGAAATCAACGGCTTCGAGCTGTTTGACAAGCCCATGCAGCTGGACTTTGCGCGCACGAGGTCGGACGCTACCGTGTTAAGAGAAGACGGTGAACACGGGCTGGAGAAGTGGAAGAGGGCCAGGCTCGCGGAGAAGGAGAGACGGCAGGCCCTGGAGGCGACGCAGCAGAAGGTGCTAAAGAGGCCCGCAGACGCGGCGGCTGCTCAGCCTGCTGCAGGAGGAGGACTTGCAACACGGCCTGCGAAGACGGCGAAGGGCGCCGGCCTCAAACCTTCCGGCACGAATGTTGCCGCCATCATCCCCGACGAATACCTTCCGCCCAATAAGATCCTGTTCATTCGGGATCTGCCGGATAGCTACGACGCAGATGGCCTGAGCCGGATATTCAGTCGCTTCGAAGGATTCAAAGAAGTTCGAATGGTGCCGGGGCGCAAGGGTATTGCGTTCGTGGAATATGAGGCCGAGGCTGGCGCGATCAGTGCAAAGGAGGCGACCGCGGGAATGCAATTGGGTGATGAAGGCAAGGGTATCAGGGTTACGTATCAACGAGCTTGAGTGGCGAATGGTAGAATGGGACGGGAAATGTTATGATATGGTTGACGCAAATCTGCGCAACTGTGCTGGTGCCAGCAATTGTACTTGATACCCATGCATGCATAGCGGGTCATTGGTCGGCGTTGAGGATAAAAGCATACAATATCTCGCAGGGGCTGCTCACGCCCTGGAGTCCAATCAGAAGATAACATCCTCATCCTCACGCTCGCCTAGCACGTCCTGCGGCTGCGCATCATTCTCTTGTTCCGGTTTGCCTTTCTCTGCCTCCTTCTGTCGCCTAAGCTCAGCATCCGCAGCTGCTTGGTCGCGTTGTTTCTTTCCCGACACTTTCTTCAGTCTGTAGAACTCTTCTCGATCCAGTTCGTCAAGCTCGGAGTTGATGTCTAGATGGAGTGTCAGCAGCCTGGAGAAAAGGAGTTCCCTCGGCGGACTTACATTTTATGGTGTTTTCAGTTCGCGGGATGATGACATGTTCAATGGCGTTCACTGTGTATATGGTTAGCGTCTCGGCCTCTGGTACAGTCCAACCCGACGCACCTCTTCGGTTCACAACCTTGATGACTTCATCCAGAATCATGAATGCCGTCTGTAAGCTGGCGAGTTCAACCAGTGTCTCGACCGCGCGGGTATAGGTCTCTCGACACCTCTGCACCTGCTGACCTCCCTTGCCCAAACCCGTCAAGCCAAAATCATTGATCTCGTCCTTTGTGTATCCTTCGAACTGAGGTAGAAAGACACCTGAGACATTCTCTTGCTTGGTCTTGATCCTGAAACGAGCTGTCTTAACGGACTCTTGGATTTGGTAGCCAATGTCTCCGCCAACCGCGTACGACACTTCGGCAAGGGAGAACGCGGCGATTTGCATGACTCGACCCATTTTCCGTTTTGCTTCGTCGATTCTCTTCAGGATTTCTACAGCCATTTAGCTTCGTGGAATTGCGAAGGGGGGTAGTTATCTGTTCAGACCTCGAAACCGCCTATTGCAAGGTTAGCATACGACAAAGGCAGTGGCGGAAGATGGCTTACTTTGTCAGAGCCTCGCTTTTCCTCTTCAGCAAGCTGTGGCCGGTCTGGGCTCCCTTCAACTTCGCATTCATTTGACCCAACGCCTGCCGCGTGGGGAAGACGGCCTCTCTCTGGAGAAGGTAATCAGCAACAACGTATCTTTGTTTTCCCATTCAATTGGCTCACCCCTGCGCCTGAAGACATCCTGTCCGCGGCTTCCTTGTCGTCTGGATCGATATAAGGTGATCAAAAGAAACGGTGAAATGCGAGAATCAAAGCAACGAAGCTCAATGCAGTGGCAACTTATCACCTGTAATTCCCGTAACACCTGGTGAAGCTGCAAGGCTTGAGAGACATGACGATGCCAAGCAGGCATCGCTAAAACTTTGTCCCGCCTCGCCAGGACAATGTCTCCTGTCTTCTTGGCAATGGCGGGCGGTGGTGGTGTTCCCTAATAGGGTAATTCCTCTTTAGGAATACCCAGTATTACAACAGGATATAATAGTTCTATTCCGTAATCTGCTTAGAGACACAGAGATGGAATTATATCTCCATCGACCCATTTGTCTCGACGGAACACGCTCTGGCCGGGAGGACTGGGAAAAAATTGTAGAAGCTCTATTCCAAACTGCTTCAAGTGGAGCGTGATGGAATCCCTGTCTGTACAGTGTAGAGACTTACATCTACAGTGGACAGCCGGCCAGGGTTGGAAGTCAGGGTGATTAGTTTGGAAAGCATTTTCGAGTTATGGAGAGAGATTATCCTGCCATTGTGAAAACCGCTCCATACTGGTTTTCACAGCACAATAACAATACCAACATCCAAGCCATGACAATTTAGAGCTTTCAAGGTTTCGTGGTCAAGTCGCTTGTTGTTTGCCGTGGAGCTCTTCGACCGGTGCTGTGGCGATAAGCTCGTGTGGCGACGTGAGCTGGACGCCGGTGTTGATCAGAAAAACCGCGGCTCAAAACCCGAGGCCAGTAATTCAATATCCCAAATGCTCGGAATCACTTACTTGGCTGCCACCTTCGTGGCAAGATTCCGCTGGGTATGCCATGGGCCAGAGGCTCCGAGACCAGGGCAAATCCCAGCAGGGTCTGCGCCACAGTCAACCGGTAGCTGTTCGTTGACCCCGGTGCGATGGCAGCACCCACGACTCCGGCATTTTGGAACCCACGATCAACCATTTGCGGATTTGAAAGGTGTCGGCGGCCGAAGATACAATGGGTGCTGGAGTGGCGTGTGGAACTGTCACGGTAGAGGAAATCTATATGCGCGCCGCCGAATTGTTGAGGTCGGCGGATATTTGTGTCGACTAGAACCAGACTAGTCAGCCCGTCAAGTTCTCTCGGCTCTCAAGGCCACGAAGACGGCAAGGACCACAAACCACGGCAGCCGGGATTTGAATGGAAAAGAGGACACTGACTCAAGAGAATCAGCCCAATTTGTTCACTATTTCAGAATCGATCAAAGTTGATAGCACGGTATTGCTAGCCGAGTTTCAATTCACGCAAAGGCAAACAAACACGTGGCCCCAGCGGCAATGTACGTGCGCAAGTTTATTTCTGGCACGTCGTCCTCATTGTCTTATACCAGGTTCTTCTCATCGCCTTTCCCGACCTGTTCATGATGAGACACAACACCTATCAGCTATCTTGACGTCCTCCTCCTCCTGCCCCGTAACTTCTACTGGTATCACTGGGGCTTTTGTATGATACATCGTAGGCTGGAATTTGTCACCCTCTATCATTTTCTGCGCAGAGATATATTTAATGTGCTGGCGATTGTTGTGTTTGACAACTGCTCTCCGGACCGGTGGAAGACAGTGCCAGGGGTTTTTGGAGAAAAAGATGGCTCTTTCCAAAGCGACAGAAATGGTTTCTATCAAAAGTCACAGCTTTCGCTCAGAGCCTGAAGGGGCAATCTTGACCCCCAGTGCCCCAGGAACCCCCAGAGTAACTCCGCCTCCAGCAAGGAATCCATTCGTTTACTCCGCCTTCGTGTCTCCCTCCGTGGAAATGCTAGAGTTCTAGATTCGAGCCAGAAGCAAAGTACTTCGGCGGTGAATGGCCCCGCCTCTGCCCGCGGTCATGGTTTGTTGATGCAAACCAGTGATAGGCATTTTGCTTCCGGAGTTACGCTCGCATGCTCTCCCTAGAAAAAATCTTTCTCACCCATCCCTGGGGTTATCCGTAAGTCGTACTTCCGCGTTCCGTGGGCGCCGCCGAAGCTGGCTCTCTCGACTTGAGTAGTGGACTTTTTCTGGGAGAATGAGCTTCAGAGTATGCGGTCGGGTCCCCCAGGCCTGTTTCTTTCCCGGAAACCGTTTGGCACTATATTAAGCTCAAGAGTGCTTTTGTTTTTGTTTGTTTTTTTGAAGGGAAAAATGCACCAGCCTCCAGAGAATTGCAGAGAAATTGGTAGCCAACAGGCCCGCGCTAAAAAGAGTCATCGAACGAAATACCATGGAGAAAGTTACATAATTCTCTGTTGAAACATTGGAAAACAGTCGTTGTTTAGAATTCCAAATTGAGACTAGATGGAAAATCAGACGAGGTCGCGGCCCTGAAAGGGTATAATTAAGGTGGAGCGGATGTCCAATTGTACAAGGCAGTCTTCGATCCAAAGGCTACAAGGAGGTCTGTGCTTAGTCAAGACTACAAGTACGCTGTTCACATAGGCTTCGAAGATGCGCCTGTCTTCGTCTCTGTCGTCTACTTTGAAACCGAATCAACAGACAAGCAAGACAACATGGCAGCCGTTGGCGGACCGGTCAACAGATTTGCGGAACCAAGTCAACTTTTTTGCTTAACCCCTTGAGCAGGCTTTATAGCAACATGACCCATCTGTCCACGAGTTAAAGATGACCCAGAAGCACAATGATCCGATGCCCAGTTTGGCATCCTCCTTCCCTTTCTTGCCCTGGCGATCCAAAACGTTGCCATGGCCAAGCAGCTCGCAAAGCTCAAGCAAGCGAGCGCCTCGTGACAATTTCGATGGTGATGATCAGGCAGTCAAAAAGTCGAAGGTGGCGTGGAAGCGTGCCGCCATCGCCTGTGAAGAATGTTGCACGCGCAAGGGGCTCTGTGATGGAGTTTTCCCGGCCTGTGGCGCCTGTATGAAATGTGTGACAGCTTGTGAATCTGCGTCGGACCGCCAGCCAGGTGACTGACGGCGGCGCTATGTGCCCTGAGAACCATCATTGGCGAGTGTGCAAGAAAAGAAAAGACGACGAAAAGAAGTTTAACATCCAGCATTCGGAAATTATAGCATAATTTCAATCATTGAGAAATCAATTGGAAGAGCTGGAAGAGCTGGAAAAGGCAAACGACCACAACTATACCACGGTCTCAACCTCCAGGCCCACCTCCAGGCCACCACAGCACGGCACTGACAAGTCGGCGTCGCAGGATTTCTACGACCTTCAACGTCCGATACTGTGGTCGACCGTCGTTGGTTCAGACCTCCACAGTCATCCTGGGAGAAGGGGTACTCAGGACACGACTGATGTCGACAGATTTGACACCAGTGTTGCACCTGTCAGGGAAGAAGATCCGCTGCTGCCGTCCAGCAACCACGAGCTCGATTGTCATCGACCTCGCACACCCTCACTGTTTCGGGACTTTCCTCCGAGCCTGAAATCACTACTGGTCTAGAGGAGATTCGTGCGTCGACTAACTTGGAGAGGATGATGGAACCGATCATCCGTCAAACCATTGACGAGGAGGTGATGCAAATCAGTACCGCAGTCTTTCAACCTCCGCTGCTCCAACAACAGAGCCACGAGGATCGTGCCACCAGAAGAAGTCCGTTTGAGAAAGGCCGATTGTAAATGTGACACCCTGCTCCACACACAGCGTCAATGGTGCCTTCCTCTGCGAAGAAGCGCCGACACTCTGGTCGCCAGATACCTCTTGTTGCAGATGTCGCTGATGTATTGGTTAGACCAAAGAGGGGGGAGGGTGAACATGACATCTATAAACCCTCCCAGGAGCTCCTAGTCGGATTGTGAAATCTGCCACAGGTGCAAGAAGGATATAGCAGCTTGAAAGATAGGCTTTCCCGTTGGGCTCTTTGGGATTGTGAAAACTGTGCCTTAAAGCTGAGAGTCAATCAATGAGCCGACGCGATGCTCACCACTTCCACATCCGCGCCACAAATTGATCTTCTGTATGCCGATGCCATCTTTTTGGCAGAGGGTGTACTTCCGCGAAATAACTCGTAGTCAGTCTTCGCTGGTCCCTCAGGATTGGGCTTTCGATGTTTCACAATGGAGGAACTTGTACCGAGTAAGACGGTGAGGGGAGGATTGGTGAGTGTCGAGCCTAGGCGCGCAAGGGCCTGCGGGTCTGCCAAGCCGGAGTCGTCCAAACTTTCATCCGGTTGCTTCGGCTGCCTTCACCAGCTTCAGCGTTCGGGATTGACGAAATCGCAAGAGAACTTCATCACGCAAACTCGTTCTATGCCTGGCACATCCGCCGGTCGCATAAACACTCGACGGTCGACATGAAATCCCTAAAGCCTGATCTGTACCTCATCGCAAACGAAGATGCCATCTACGAACAGGACATCCTCCGAAATCCCGGAAGCGTTCGACCATGGCTGACCTACATCGACTTCAAAATGCGCAATGCCACCATCCACGAGCAGGCATTCGTACAAGAGAGGGCTTGCATACAATTACCGCGATCATATAAGCTGTGGAAAATGTATCTGGAATTCCGCATCAAGCATCTGAAAAAGAAAAACCCGGTCAAATACAGGGCAGAGTTCAACAAAGTCAACGCTCTATTTGAGAGGGCCCTCATCTTGTTGAACAAGATGCCCGTCATTTGGGAGATGTATCTGACCTTCCTCCTGCGACAACCGTATGTCACCAAAACTCGAAGGACCTTTGACCGGGCGCTCCGGGCTTTACCTGTTACACAACATAACAGGATTTGGAAACTCTACAAATCCTTTGCGAATTCAGCCGGGGGAGAGACCGCAGTCAAGATATGGGCTCGCTATGTCCAAGTGCATCCAGAAGACATGGAAGACTACATCGATCTACTGATCGAGACCGGCCACTACCTGGAAGCAGTGAAAAGATACATGCAGATATTGAACAACCCCAAGTTCATGTCAAAGCACATCAAAAGCGAATTTCAGCTGTGGAATGAGATGGCAGAGCTCATGGTCACCAAGGCTCGAGAAATCGGTGATAGCTCGGTTTCTGGTTTCGATCCTGATACCATTATCCGAAGCGGCATAGAACGATTTGCCGACCAACGCGGCAAACTGTGGGCAGGACTGGCAACCTACTGGATCACCCGCGGAGATTTTGAGATGGCGAGAGATATTTTCGAGGAAGGCATTACCACCGTGATGACGGTGCGTGATTTTACGATGATCTTTGACGCATATGTCGAGTTTGAAGAGTCTATATTATCCACCCTTATGGATGCTGCTTCTGCCCGTGCAGCCAAAGGAATCGTTGACCCTGAAAGGGATTTTGATCTCGACCTGAAAATGATGCGGTTTGAACATCTGATGGATCGCAGACCATTCTTGGTCAACGATGTCTTATTACGGCAGAATCCAAACAATGTCGTCGAGTGGGGAAAACGGGTCGCTCTGTGGAACGACAACAAGCGAGAAATTGTTCAGACATACACAGATGCAATTGCAGCAGTCGCACCGAAAAAGGCTGTCGGCAAATTTCACGAATTGTGGTTGAATTACGCCAAATTCTACGAAGAAGCTGGCGATTTGGACACAGCACGGATCATTCTCGACAAGGCAGTTAAGGTGCCATACAAATCCGTAGCCGAACTTGCCGACACCTGGATTGGCTGGGCTGAGATGGAGTTGAGGAACGAAAACTTCGACGGGGCCATGAAAGTCATGGCTACGGCTACCAAAGCTCCCAAACGGAGCACGGTCGACTACTTCGATGAAACCCTCTCGCCGCAACAACGCGTGCACAAATCCTGGAAAGTCTGGTCGTTCTACGTCGATCTCGTTGAATCGGTCGGTTCCCTCGATGAGACTCGGGCGGTCTATGACCGCATCTTCGAGCTGCGGATCGCAACCCCACAAACAGTCGTTAACTATGCCAACCTCCTCGAAGAGCATGGGTATTTCGAAGAATCCTTCAGAGTCTACGAACGGGGTCTCGACGTGTTCACTTATCCCGTCGCATTCGAACTGTGGAACCTCTACCTTACAAAGGCCGTGACCCGCAAGATTGGTATGGAACGCCTCAGAGATTTGTTCGAACAGGCTCTGGAACAATGCCCTCCCCAATTCGCCAAACCAATCTACCTTATGTACGGCGATCTAGAGGAACGCGACGGGTTTGCTCGTTCAGCAATGCGAATCTACGAGCGCGCCACCCGTGCCGTCAGCGACGAAGACCGTCTATCCATGTTTGAGTTCTATATCACCAGATCTGCCGCACGCTTTGACGAACCATCTACCCGACCCATCTACGAGCTCGCCATCGCCACCCTTCCCGACAAAGAAGCGAAAATAATGTGTCTCAAATTCGCAAAGTTGGAGATTAAACTACAAGAAATCGATCGCGCGAGAGCCATATATGGTCACGCATCCCAGTTCGCAGATCCAAGAGTAGATAAAGAGTTTTGGAAGACGTGGGAGAATTTCGAGTTGAACCATGGGAACGAGGACACCTACGAAGAGATGCTTAGGATTAAGAGGTCGGTGGAAGCGCAATTCAACACGGATGTGTCATTCATCGCGAGTCAGGCAGTTGCGAGGGTGGCAGCAGCTAGTGAAGGGGAGGGCGCAGGAGCTGAGCAACGAGAAGGGGAGGTGCAGGATGCGATGGCCGCATTGGAAAGACAGGCGAGGGCGCCCGTCGGCTTTGTCGCGGCGAGCACAGGGCCTGAAGGTGGGAATCGGCCACCCCCGAAACAAACCGACGAGACGGAAAGCAAATCTAAGCTGGCAGTGGCTGCGAATCCGGACGCTATCAATGTTGACATTGACGATGACTGACATTTCACGACCTCGAGGTACTTGGTTTTCGGCACTGGGACGTGTTGTGCTGTCCATGACAGAAATATGGGCAAGGGGGGTTTTTTTTTTCTGGAGGAGGCATTGCATTTTTCTGCTGGATCTGGACTTTCAATTATCCAACCTTTATCTGTATCAGGATACCTACATAGCGAAATGGTTGGGGGGGATTTTCGAAGCATCAGCGACGCGTCCTTGGGCTAGGACGGCTCTTGACTTTACTTCGTTCGTTGTGTGCGCATATCATTCAGGCGGGTTTAAGTCAGGTAGAGGGATCTCTACAACGATAGATGCTCCTCTTCGGTGGTTGAGAAAATTTTCAACGTCCTGCCGGCCTGCGCCTGCTTCCCTTTTGTCTATCTGCCTTATTCCCTTCTGTTCCATACCTATCTCGCTGGCTGGCCGTACGATCGGACCATGCTGGTCTCATATCCCGTAAATCAATTCTATCCGTCTCACTTGGGGTAGTTCTTGACATGGAAACTCTTGACCTTGACAAACTGCTCAAATGCCAACTTGCTCAGCGTCACACCCCTTCCGCTATCCTTCCACCCCGTCCAGGCGAGATCCGGGCTCGGAAAATCAGCTCGGTTCACAAATACCGTGCCCGCCTGGACCAAACCACACAGTTCTTCACCCTTTGGCGTATCCTTTGTCCATATCGATGCCGTAAGTCCGAACTGCGAGTCGTTCATCAGGGCAATCGCCTCCTCGTCGCCAGATACCTTCTGGAGAGGGATGACGGGACCGAATGTCTCGTCGCGCATGATTGACATGTTGTGATTCACGTTGGTGAGGAGGACGGGGGCCACCCAGTTGCCCGCCTTGGGCCCGGCTGGTGATTTGAAACTTTCGTTGTGAGGTGTCTGGTCCACGGCTCCAGCGGCAATGGCATCCGCAACTTGTTTTTCGATTGCTTCCTTGGATCTTTTGGAGACGACGGGCCCGACGTGTGTAGACTTTTCGAGGGGATCACCTACTCTGTATCCCTCGAGGACTTTCTTGACTTCCTTCAGGAATGAATCGTAGATGTCGGCGTGGACATAGACACGTTCAATAGCGCAGCATGATTGTCCTGAATTGAATATTGCACCATCCACAATCTCTTCCGCCGCCCAAGCCGCGTCAACGTCCGGGCGGATATAGGCAGGGTCTTTCCCACCGAGTTCTAGTCCTACGGAACAGGACACGCGAGAAGCCGCAAGTGTCTGGATGGCTATCCCCGCCGCCACTGAGCCTGTGAAGCAAATGTGGTTGACCTCTGGTGACAGGATCAATGGCTTTAAATCCGTCGGACTTCCACAGTGCAAGTATTGAATGACTTTCTGAGGTAGGCCCGCTGCATCAAATATATCGACGATATGTTCCACAATGGTCGGCGTCTGTGGACTCGGCTTCAATATCACGGCGCACCCGGCTAACAGCGCCGGTATCAAGCTGTTCACCAAGATCAAGTAGGGATAATTCCACGCGAAGATGACCAGAACGACGCCCACAGGTTCTTTCCTCGTGATGTATCTCTTGAAACCTTGTTCCTGTTCACCAGGAATAGTTGCGTCCCGCTCGAGAACCTCGGGCGCGACTCTAATCATGTACTCCGCTCTCTTGACTGCGGTGGTGATTTCTTTGGCGGTGTATGAGATGGGTCGACCCATTTGCTCGGTGAGTTCGCGGGCGAGGGCATCTTGTCTTTCCAACAGTAAATTAAGGGCTTTTGATATGATTTGCTGCCGAGACTCGAGGGACGGGTGGGATTTGCGATAAGACTTGAAGGCGCTCTGTGCGGTGGTTCCCAGACGCAGGATTTCTTCTGGTGACTTGCCGTGTCGGGTCAGGATTGGTTCGTTGGTTGTGGGCGAGATTGTGGTAATTATTTCGGCGACCATCTTTGCAATGGTTCGGTGCGGATGCTGCGGTGGATGAGGTGTCTCGGTATGTAGATGGAATTGCTCGTCAATTGAGAAAATGTCCCGCAGCGGGGAAATGACGCGAGGCTGGAAAAATCGCCGAGCCTCAGCCTCGTAAGGGGCTGCAAGGCTGCAAGGCTGAGGGTTGAAACTACGGGCAAATTTCCCCACCACAATTTGGTGTACGGAAGTACCTTCTTGTTAGTTGGAAAAACTGTAGAGTCGGAGTAAATAGTATCTCCAACTGTTTGATTTGCTATCAGCGCTATGGTATTGCAACATTACCATTCTGACCATTCTACCTTCCTGGTTCAGCAGCTTCTTGATTGACCTCCCACCTGATGAACAACTCGTCTCCAAGGTGTCATCAGCGCGGGAGTGGCGCTGGACGCAGAACTTGCGCAGCAGTCGGAGGTGTTCGCTGCACTCTACAGATCCTGGGAGCAGGACTGGCGGGGTCATAAGGCACATGTGGTTGCACATGACCATGGAGGCTTGATGGCCTTACGGGCACATCTGCTGCATGGGTGTGATTACCGCAGTTTGTTCCTGATTGATGTAGTGGCAATCGGGCCGTTCGGACACCCTCTCTTCAAATTGGTGGCGGAGAATGAGCGAGTATTTACAGCTTTGACTGGGCCGGTATTTGGAGGCGTAGTAGAGGTGTATATCCGAGATGCGGCGAATTGTGAGTTGGATAGAGAAACCATGGAAAAACTGAAGAGGCCGTGGATCATCAGCGAAGATCGGAGGGAAGGATTTTTCAGGCAGATGGTGCAGGCGAACAGTCGCAGCACAGCGGAGGTCGAGGGCAGATACCACGAGGTTGGGAAGAAAATGCCAGTGAGGATAATCTGCGGAAAGGAAGATGGGTGGAATCCTGTGGAAACAGCAACGAGGCTGAAGGGGAAGTTGGTGCCAAGGACGTAGTGGATATCGAAGGAGGAGGTCATTTGGTGATGTATGATCAGCCGGCGAGGTTAGGGACTGAGCTGGGATGGTGGTTGGGTAGTATGAACTAGAAACGGCAGGGGAGGAACCTCACCATGAAGCTGCTTAGCGAGGCTCATCCAAGGCGAAGATGGCTTGGGTTCAATCAAAATACAGCCAGGCATACACCAAGCCAGCTTGCTGTCTGGGACGCTTGCAAGTAGCATTGGCTTTTCACACTACCGTGTCCCGGTCTTTTCCACTGGGGAGAAAGGAATTATGCTGGTAAGGGGAGGAAGTCTGCTCATCGGGTCCGTTAGTGTCAAGCCACCCATCGATTGCTCGAGTTCCAACATTTCCGCCGCGGCCAGATCGGTCTTGCACATCTTCCTCACCGAAGATGCTTCCATCAAGTTCGATTCGGCTATGTCCAGTGCTTGTTGGAAACAGCATATCGCGTTGCCGAGATTGTTTCTCATGAGGTGCAAACGTCCCAGACAGCGAAAAGCCGCTAACCGAGAGAAGATGAGACTACTCTTTCGTAACCTTAACTCGGCCGCGTCCATGAACTGCGGCTGCAGAGCCTGGCCCGAGGAAAGCACGTCATTCCGTCGAAGCGCGTCACCCAGGATGCATTCAACCTTCACGCTGGCGTCTCCAGATGCGAGCATCACTCTGGCCTGCTCGACGATGGCAGCGATTGACACGGCTGAATTGGTCGAGTAGACCTGTTCCCAAGCCTGAGTCAAGTTTTCGAGCATTCGGATGGATTCCGCAACGTCGCCCGATGAGGCCGTGAGCCGAGCCCAGTACCAGAGGTGCAGCATGGTTTGATATGAGTGGGTGCCGAAGGCTCGGATGTGTTCCACATGTGCTATTCTTTGTCCCTCCTTTCGCATTCTGACCTTCTGTTCGACCGTCAAAGGCGTCTGAAGCAGAATAGAGATAGGGTGACGCTGCCCCAGAACGTTGACGGCAAGCGGTGCCAGGTAATTCTTCCATGACGCCCGAAGGCTTCCAACCACAGTCTTCGAAGTGTCCATGCTGATCTCGGTGAGGTAAAAGCAGAGCTGGGGGTGCTGACTGAGTAGCATGATTCTAGCAAGCGGCAAAGTCGTGTTCAGAATTTGGCTTGCACTCTCAGACTGACCGGCAGCGATGAACCCTGCAGCCAGCATAATAGAGACCGAAATAGCTTCCGTGAGACCATTTCCATCGAACTCAGAAGCATTTTGAAGCATGGCAGTCTTCCAAATACCAGCCGCATTGCCTTGGTGATAGCTGGAAATAGCAGTAAGCACTCGTTCAAAGTTTGACTCTTCTCTTGCGTCTCTGATACTGGCTGCCGGTGCCTGACCAAGGCGCCATTGCATTTCGTACTTCCGACCAGGCCGTTGACTTGTCCTCGCAGCTCTGGAAGGTGGCGTTACGGACTGAGACTTCCTTTTCTTTTTGATGTTTGCTGGGATCTTTGACGACTCTCCAGGATCATCATCCTCGCTATCGACTCTTCTATGTTTTCCTTTCGCTTGCTCCATTTCGACGGATGTATGTGTCCGAAATGATTTCCTGCCCCTGGCTGGCTCTGCGACTACCGATACGGACGCAACGGGAAGTGCGCCGACGGTCTCAGGCGGTGGCAGCGAAGTGCCTTGTTGGGCCGAAGATACCTCTACAACGTCTGCCTCACTAGTGAGGAACTTTCTCGCGAAGCTGTCTGATGCGGGTGTTGCTATCTCATGCGGTAGTTGCCCCGAATCGCTTGATATGTCGTACAGTGACGAGGTTGAATGTGTTTGATGGAAATGAGCAACACCAGATGCACCTGAGGATTCTGTAGCAGGCTCCCCAAGGGGAGGAGCAGGTCCAAGGTAGAATGGACCACCATGATGCCGCCCCGGTGCTGGAAAGGTGGCTGTTCGCCGAAGAGAGTCGCCCTCAAACTGAGAGCCAGACAACGGTGCGGACAGCTGATCAGTCGAAGCCACGATACTCCAACTTGGTGTAAGGGTGGAGCGAATGCCACTAGTCTCTGTGCTGTTGCTGCTCGTTATCCCCAATAAGGTCGGTAGTGGGGGTTCATGAGCAACGGGTTGTCCTTTGGGCAAAGAGCCTAGACTTGGATGCGACACATTTTGGAAGGAGCCCACGCCTTTAGGCATGGAGGAGGACGGCAAACCTGTCTGAACGTGCCGAGAGAGCTTAGAGAAGGCAAAGTATATGGCCTCCAGAATATATGTCTTGAATATTCTCACGCGCATGAACTCAACATTGGAGGACGTGAAGTGGTTGCGTGAATGTGTCAAGCCTCGTCTAAAGCTAAAACCGCTCTTTGTCCCGATGTCGATAGAGGATGATAATATGGTCACCCGCCGCCTCAACCGTCGAAGATCAGGGCATCGTTCTCGTCGTCTCGAAGGACCCCAATTGGTTGCTGACACATGGTGACTCAGCTAGTGCAGCAGCGGCGACCTGCTAGCATCATCAAGCCATCGGCTCCATTGACGGGAAGCCTGTGTGCCCTCCTACCTGCTTAAATGGGCATGCAGGTTCGCCTGGATGTCCAGTCCTCGTCTTCTCACTGGACTATATCTGCATCCTCAGTCAGGATTCTCATGACCAGGCATGCACCCGATCACGAAATTGAGAGTTTGCTGAGCTGCAAAATGGAAGTTCAATCTTTTTCTTCAGCTAATGTTGTGTATGGCGATCCGGGTTCGGAGCTGCGGGTGCCAGGAGACCATCCTACCAATACAAGAAAAGCAGGGTGACTCGGAACGCGGCAGACAGGAGGTTCGACATCGATGCTATACCGACCTAGCGCTGAGCATACTTGCAGACCACTACGCCTCCTCGAGGAAGACGTCAATATATCAAGTTACAGCGTACTCCTATGAGGAGCAAATTCTTTGCCGATGCCCTTCTGTTCCTTGTCAGGCTTCCTATCTCGTCTATCGGCGTTAGCGTCAGAGGGGAGGAGCGGGTTGCGAAGTGTCTCGAGACAGGATCTTGCCTCTTCCGCCATGGATTTCAAGCATTCGTTGCCGCACCCCAACCAGTAACACGATATCCCAAGGTCTTCCATTCTCTGTGGGGGAAAAGCAATGGGTGCCAGTCAGATAGACCTTGCGACTGCAGTGGACCATTTTATTGCTTGAGGTGTGAATGACCCGAGTGGTAGACCACTGTCGCAACAACATCTTGCTGACCATATGGAGTCCTACCTCTAACAATATAGGTCAATAGGTGCGTGGCTGTTCTGACAGAGCATCCCGAAGCTCTCCGTTCTTCCCGGGTGTCCGCCAAGATCAACATTGACATTTTCTTTCTTGATCGTACCGGCTTCTCCATGCAGTTACTCTGGCAAGCAGTACGCGTTGCCATTGCCCTCCTCCAGCAGCATAATAATCAACCAAGCTGTGCCATCGTTCTCTGGCCGGTCGGTCTAATCCCGAGGTGACGAGGCTAGGAGATACTAGAGCAGTGGCCACCAGTAGAGTTCGCCTTGTGTTTCTGGCATGCTTCGTGCTTGTTTCAAATCCGGGCTGAGGCTGTCTCTAGTTGTCGAAATGAATGATAAAGATGAGGAGCAGAGGCATCGAAGGCGAAAAGATGACACGTCTCGAAGTTGGGTCGAACTGCGTACATTTAACCTATTTGTATGGAGTAGACTTGGGAGCAATTGCGGCCTTGGCACAGTCCGAGCATTTCGCCTTGTATGATGTGAAGCTGGAAGAAATAATAGTATCCAAAACCCGGAGCTCCAAGGCAGGAGGCAGTCGTTCATTCGTCTATCGTCTATGGAGCAAGCTCATGTGTGTGGAAGACGCAAGAGACAAGAGTCAGCGATGCATTGCACTGTTCTCCTGCTCTCTTTTCCCAGACTTCCTTGCTTCTCTCACTTCTGCCCTTCTTGTCACGGCGGTATCAATCGTGGCTCGTAGCCTTCATTCTTTGACACGTCCGTGCATGACCAGAGCGACATCGTACAGCATCATCGCTCGTCCTGCGAACTCCCAAAATCTCCTCTGCTTGTGCTCCCTAACTCTGAGTTGGGACGTGATGCTCTCTTCTCTGCAGCATCAGGAAAGGTCTTGTCAATCCCTCTCCGTTGAGGCGGTGGATATGTTTTCTTTTGAGGCTGGATACACTGTCGAGTCTCGCAGTCAAGGCCGATCCAGGTCGTCGCATTATGCTGCGTGATGTCATGTGGCAATGTAGGTTCTATCCCCCACTCAATGCCCATGACCATCGTCTTCTCCGCGTGGCTCAGGAGCGTCGAGTATGATCAGGGTATCAATCCTGATGATACTAATGCATGCTTCCACGGCGCTCTTGAGCTGCTTCACCTTGCTCATGCTGGGCTCCAAGACACCCATCTTGACGACATCGACAACCTTGCCCCGCATCAGATCTAAACCGTAATTCTTGTACTGTCGCTTTTTGGCAATGTCCCTTTCCCTCTCGTTGGCGTCCCCTTCTTGGACTCTCTGGCTTAACGCATGGCGCACGCGTAGCTGAGCGACAAGCTCTGAAGCATCCTTTGCCGCATTGACGGCCAAGGTCTTCGGAACAATCAGAAGGGATTGCGAAAATTCCCCGATTGCCAGCTGTTCTCGCGACGAAACGGTCATAGCAAATTCTTCGAGGTAAATGTGTAAGGCCGTCTCCACGGCACCACCTCCGGGTACGATACTACCAGACTCTAGTGTTCGTTTGACCGCGGACAGCGAATCGTGAACAGATCGTTCCATCTCGTCAAGTTGATAGTCGTTAGATCCCCGGAGGATGATGGATGCCGACGAAAAAGCTTTGGTCCCTTTCACAAGAATGCACTCATCGTCCGATATGCGTTCTTGAACCACTTCCTCCGCATACCCTAGCAATTCTTTCTCGTATCTCTCGTCGCCATTCAGATCAGATAGAGTGCTGACGAGAGTCGCCCCAGTCGCCTTTGCTATCCGTCTCAGGTCTTCTTTCTTACACCTCCGCACAGCCATGCAGCCATGTTCCACGAACAACTTGAGAACTAGGTCATCAATACCTTTTGTGGTTAGCACCACGTTTGCCCCAGCCTTCAGGATCATTTCCACTCTTTCGAGGACGATGCCGGCTTCTCTTTCTCGTATCTTTTCCAGTTGTTGGGGGTCTTCGACGGTGATTTGCACCCCGAGCTTCATCCGTTCTTTTTGTAGGTTCATGTCAAGGCAAGCAATCTTTGCGTCTGTAATTCTGGTTTTCATGGCTTGGGATGCGACTGTGCAGTTCAATGCATAGCCCTTGACCAGTATTGATTCTGTCGCACTCTTGCCGTGTGCTTTCAGGATATTGACGGCTTTGACCGGATACTTGACTTCGTTTTTCTGTGGATTGATCGACTTGACCGCCAGCATTGCATCTACCACCATATTGCCAAAGAAGTCCGCATCGGCGCCAATTATTTTACTTGACATTGACGTCTTGGCGATGTTTACCAGGCTTTCCCTTCCAAGGGTTTCTACTTTTGTGCTGATGTTTTCCTGCATGTATTTGACCGCCTCTCGCAGTGCCAGGCGGTAACCGGTAATGATGACGGCAGGGCTGATTTGGTTCTTCATGAGATCGTTCGCTCGTCGAAGGAGTTCGGCCGCAAGGAGCACGACGGATGTGGTGCCATCTCCCACCTCTTTGTCTTGCTGTTGAGCCAAATCGACCAGAATTTTCCCGGCCGGGTGCTCAACGTCGAGCAAACTGAGGATCGTTGCGCCGTCATTGGTGACCGTGACGTCCCCAATATCGTCTACCATCATCTTGTCCAGACCTGAGGGGCCAAACGAGGATTTGACCACATTTGCAATTGCCTGCGTTGCGAGGACATTCTGGTCTCGAATATCCTGGCCACTAATCTTCTGACCACCAAGAAACAATGTACCACCGCTGCGCGGGCCCTCGAAGATGCCAGCCATCGCGAATATGATTAGAGAAGAATGCGCTGGGCAGTTAGGACACAAGATGTTTCTCGAGGCGGATGGGAAAAATGTCCTGCAGATTCATACGATCACTCCACATATCAAAGGCGGCGCCTGCGGGCCATAACCACCACCGGTCTTGGCACTGGGAGTGACCTTGCCGCTTTAGTCGGGCGCCAGTCACTTCGCCTCCTCGCTCTCCCTCTTCCTCTCTCTCGATCAACTTCCACTCACCCTTGCTCACCCATGAGCATCACAACTTCTCCATCCACAATCATATGCCCTGACTTTTCGCTGGCTTATACTAGTGCAAGCTATGGGAGGCGGGCTCGGGAATGACAATGAGCGACCTGTCCTTGGGCTTTCGCCTCTCACCATCAAGCTCCAAATGTACAGCCGTGGTGTACCATCTCTCGGTCCAAGCGACTGAATCGGCCGACAGATCTCGGCCAGCAGTGGGATAGGCACATGACACCCGCATCGTCTTGTCTGGGGAGACGCATAACATCGCATATGATGCAAGGCTATAAAGGTTCCTCTGCTAGTACAGGAGAAGAACGGGCAAAACTGGATGACAAGCTTCCCATGACGTGACGCCCTCATCAAAAGGTAATTTTCAGGCGATTTCGCCTCACACAGCTTCTTGATCTTTCTCATATCCCTTTGTATCAGCTTAACCTTCAACAGAACATATTCGAACCCTGTTGCAATCTCAAATATCTAATCCGACTACGCGCATTGCAATCAAAATGTGATGCGAATGTGGCTCAGGTGGGCAAAAATGCGGGTGCAATGGACCGCAATCCTGCACCTGTTGTCAGGACTGCAAATGCAAGGCCTGCGGAGAATGTTGATGCTCTCTTTGTTATCACGACAGTCCCAATCCTTGCATGACGTTGCCTCGCGGAGCTCACTCCTTTTCCTGCTGCTGCTGCTGCTGCCATTCCTGTTGACTCCCATACGGGAACCAAGGTCTTGCCTATGGCTTCCATTAGTCTGGAAGGCTTCATGAATGGATACAGTCATTACTTCCTTCCGATTTTATGTGCGGCGTTATTGAAGACCAAAAGGAGGGAAGTGGCAAACACGCTTGTCACAGAGACGGGCGTTTAATCATTGCTTTGAGAGGCTACAACATCAAACCCTTTCATCGACACACGGAAAAAGCCGGCCTCACTCCCTCCCTTCTGGACTCAGCTAGGCGACATTCTGGCCCCACAAGGCACACTGGCAATACAAGGAACTTGCTTGGCACACTTAATGTCAGCGGTCAGCAAACAGCTGGAGAACGGCGATTGGCACAAGACCAGCATCGTCGTGGCTCCCCCCTGCGCAGATGGATTCACATATACGTGCCTAACCGTTCAAAGCATAATGGAGCGGAAAAGGGCATCATTTTAGAGTGGACTCCGGTAGGTAGAGATGATGGCGCTGTTACTATCTCACAGAGGCCTTGGCCATAACTTATCCTTCATTCCTGAACACGGGTTCTTTTGTGATATTTGTCTCTTGTTTCGCTTTCAAACCACAGAAACAACCGAGGAGAATCATTCGGCCGGCCACGCCATGCAGCCTGTCTGCGAGCTGACGTCCGTCGAGCTGATTCGAAACCAACTGGCAAATGAAGAAAGACCGTCAGGGTACAGCGCATCTTCTGTAGACAATAGGCTGTTACATCATTATTTGCACATTCTTCTGCTACATCTGTTACAGCGTGCCCGGGCAACCCTGGTTGCTCCTATCTCAGTTTCTCTACTCATATTACAAGGTGTCCGGACCCAAACTCAGTGATCTACTAAACGTTTGACCTAAACTCTGCCAGCGATTGACCACCCCGCGCTTTACGGATTCACCGACGATGTCAAGCATCGCCATCTCAGACTACTATATTGGCTGGATATGTGCGCCGAGCGAGGAATTGACTGCCGCCATCGCTATGCTGGATGAAGAGCATGAGATGATAGAAGGACAAGACCCACAAGACCCACAAGACCATAACAGCTACGTGTTGGGTCGAGTTCAGATATAATGTGGTGATTGCTTGTATGCCAGCGGGAAGTGATGGGCTGGCCCCTGCGGCTCTTGTGGCAAGGGACATGGCAAGGACTTTTCCTGCGCTCCGGATAGCATTAATGGTCGGCATTGGTGGTGGCATCCCTGATCTCTCTAAGGGCATTGACATTCGACTGGGGGATATTGTAGTGAGCAAACAAGACTTCAACCATCTCGCAGCAATCCTAGGACATGAAAAGTTTCCACAATTGATGTCACAATCGGCAGGCAACTCCGAAATCAATGAACCCGGTGACGAGGGTTGGGCAGCACTAGCGCGGGCATGCGAGCATGGTTACGAAAGAGTTGTGCGGCTACTACTCGAGAAAGGAGCGGACCCCAATACTGAACACCCTAGAGTTAGTGTAAGCCAGGGGGGAGAGTATTCGATGCGACAATTAACAGGCGTAAGGAGGATATTGCGCTGATGGTGCTCGAGAAGGCAGCGGACGCAGATACTGAAGATGTACTCACTAGGGCGGCTGTTGGACGCAAGGAGAAAGTTGTGCAAACACTGCTCGAGAAAGGAGCGAACCGAAAGCATGATGCACTGTGTGCAACAATCATGGCTGGGCAGGAAAAGAGGGCGCGAACACTGACCGATTACGGCGCGGATGTAAATCTCCAGGGGCAAGATGGAACTCCACTAGAAGGAGCATCACGAAAGGGTTACGAAAAGGTAGTGGAGACACTTCTAGATCAGGGGGCAGATATTAATGTGTAGGGGGAAATATGGTATCCCCCCGTAGAAGTAGCATCACAAAAGGGTTATGAGAGGATGTTGAAAATGTTCACGAACGAGGCTCTCAGATTCTGGCTGGCGACGTCGACCAATGTATCTACTACCCGGTACGTATCAGTATAATGGGGCCTTATCACAGCATCGTCACGGACAGGATGCTATGTTACACATACCAGGATGTCCAGGAGGTCGTGAGAAATGGTGAATACTTCCACCCTTCGTCTCCGTCGCTCATCCTTCGATCCGTGGAACAAATACAACTCCTCAATGTGTATCAGGACATGTTGTTCAAAAATGGGTCTGCGAGGTCAAAACTCTCACATACTGGATTGCGACTCCGCAAGGCCGCAGGCTGGGGTAGAGTTGCCGCGACCATGGTCGGCATGCACAACAGCCTACAGGCCCAAGAGGCACCAGGACGACTACTGTGCGTTCTCTTGCATGACTTAACAACCAAGGTCAATAGCACATACAGTATCAATGGGCGAGGAGCGGCTGCGGAAAAAAAAAAACAAGTGGACTTTTAATGGACTGTAGAGAATCATGGAAGGAGACTTTTTATTAAGCTAAGACGACGCAGTTGTACTTAAGCCTGAAGGTACTATTGCATGTATGTAGACTGACCCCGCGGGCTGCCTGACATTGATGATGCACCCTGTATGTCCCACGCGCTCGTCAGCCCTGTAAAAAAAAGCCCATCCCTGGTTTTAAGCGTATCCACCATGAACGGCGAGGTTGTGATCAGTAGTTGTTGAGTGTGAGAAACCAAAATGCGGAAGAAACCGAATTACCAAGTGTTTACAAGAAGTGGGGAGCATTGAGGACAATGCCCATGATGCATCCAGCAAGCGTGCCGGCGATGGGGATAGTCATGATCCAGGAGAAGAGCAGCAGACCGACTCGTTGCCAGTTGACTGCCTTCCACGTACCGTTGCAGAGGCCGACACCAATGGTGGCGCCAGTGATGCACATCGAGGTCGAGACGGGTAGCGAGTATTGAGAGAAAAGGAGGACAGTAATAGCGGCACCCATTTCCATCGAAGAGCCTCGGGATGGCGAATGGTACGTGATCTTGTTGCCCATGACTTTCATGATGTTGTAGCCGTAAGTGATGAGACCGATAGAGAGCGTGGCGGAGAGCACAGCGAGTTGCCAGATGGGCACCTCGGCTTTGGATTTGGCTGCGTCACCGGTTGACCAAGCCGAGTAAATGACGGCCCAGGGGCCGACAGCGTTGCCTATGTCATTAGCGCCATGGGCGAAGGATGCTGTGCAAGCGGTGATGACCTGGACGAAGGAGTAGGTGTGCTCGACCTCATTGGAGTACTTGGTTGCGTAAGAGTACACTCGCTCCATGCGTCGACCTTCGGGCGTGCCGGCAATACCGGTCTGGGCAGAGTGGATGTCGTAGTTCACGCCATACAGGACAGCGACGACGAGCATGGCCGGGATGCGAATCAGCAGAGTCTTGAGGTTTTTAAACTCGTAGATCTCGCCTTCGCCAATGGGGTTGTTGTGCAAAGTGCGCATGGCCCAACCGAGAGGACCACGCTTCTTGCGAAGCCTTGCGTGGAACTTCTGTTGAGCCTCGGCCAGTCGTTCCTTGTAGGTCATTTGTGTGATCTGGGCTTCGACCTCTACAAGCGCTCTCTCTCCTGGAGCAGCGGAGTGCGCTTTAACATCGGTCCCAATTTTTTCAACGCCATCCTGGCTTGCGGAATCTGGCGAATGAGTAGAGGCTTCGTCTTCGTCATGCTTCTGAACCACAGCGTAGTCCGGAACGTTTGCTTGTTCGTGAGCATCAGCTGGAGCTGGGCGTTTCCAGAGCAGAGGACCCAAGGGGAGGTGCCAGAATTTGATAGTGTGATCTCTCTTGATGACTTTTGCGTGCAACCAGGGAACGAAGAAAATGGCTGACAGGATGAAAAGGCCACCTCCAACACCCATGGTGACAGAAGCAATGTACCACGAGGGCTTCTTGTTCAGACCAAGATTCGGAGAACCTTTGTAGACAACGGATAGTGTGCAAATAGTGCCGGCGATGAGGAAGAAGAATGGCGAGGTAAAAACGGCCCAGGGTACCGGGTTCTTTCGAATGTGCACCACCAGTTTGATGAGCATAAAGATGGTTGCAGCAAACCCGCCGGAAATGAGAGGAGCCAATCCCAAGCCAGCGAAGATTGCGCCTAGGCCCTGGCCACCATTCCAGCCCCATTCCACTTGAGAAGCTCCAGCGACCGCGACTCCCACACCAGCGACGGCCGAAATGAGCGAGTAAGACGATGAGACGTGGGCAGAATGTCGTGTGCACCACATGACCCATGAAGATGCACCTGCCAGCGCACAAGTGAACGCAAGCATCTGAACACCAGCGTTGTCTTGGAAGGCGGAGAGAGGAATGATCTTGTTCTTGATGGTGGATGCGGTTCGGGCACCGACAGTGATAGCCCCAACCATCTCAAACACAGCACCAAGGACCATGGCTTGTTGGTATGTAACGGATCTGGAAGAAACGCTGGTGGCCCAGCTGTTTGCTACATCGTCTAACAAACCGATCAGCACCCATGTGAGCCGCAGAGACAGGGACAAGTTACTTACTTGCGCCGTTGTTGTAGGCATCGAGCAGAGCAAACAGGGTGCCAATGGCGAAGACGTAATCGTACTGAGAGAGTCGTGCCATCTTGATGAAGATTCTGCAGATGCCACTCAACGAGAGATGTTGATGTTGCTCGGAGACTGGTCAAGAGCAAGGAACGGACGGCAGGACACAGCTTTTATGTTAATCAGTGCTGGGCGCTGTTGGATGTAACGGCAGAATTGATGCTCTTGGCCGCAGGGTAGGTATCCATGTAGCTTTCCTTCTTCTCCTCTGCCAACGCCACGGGCGAAACCAATCCATCAGCAGATCGGAATGGCACATGCTTTTGGCAAGGCCAATTCCACATTTTCAGAGCGTCCGAAGGGCTGGGTTGGTCGTGTTCCTTCTCGTGTTGTCCCGGGAGAGGAGATGAAGCAAATGCCAAGAACCGATAACCCACTGTCATTTGCAAAAGAAGCAAGTTCAAGCCGCTCTCACGTTCTTGTCACGCCTTCTAGAAGGCTTGGCTGCAACTCCGGGCGGGCTTGTCTGTGAACTTGATATACACAAGATACAGCGGAGGCGAGCACGTTCTCGAAGGGAGCTGTATGACTGGTCCCCGAAGTATCAAGGGAGGGTCTCCGCTCTCTTGGCATGCTTGGCAGAGAAAATCCGCCTTCGCCGCGCCCTTTCTCTCAGGCTTGTGCGTCGCGTAGCTTCCGATACGTTGCCTGCGCCAGTATCGACTTCATTTCAGCTTGTGCTAGAGTTACCCAGCCGGACTGCCACTCTGCGATCCCTTGGCGTAAGAAATTTGCATTCTGTCGTACTCGCCATCAAGGTTGGCGGACCAAATCCACGTTTCCGAGGTGTAGACTCTGACAAGAACGCTGTAATGAGAATCATGCAAGGCGACGCCGGACTAGGAGAGGGTTTGGCTGCCAGAATCGATCCATCTAGCCACCGTCGTTAGAAATTTAAAATTCTTGGCTTACCATACGGAAGTCCAGTGTTGCTGGGTTCCTGGCGAGACCATAAGCTCATGTTCGCATCCACATAACCCTTTGAGAAAGTACAAGACGCCAATGCGCGGTGGGCTGACTAGCCCAGGCACCTCGTGTCACGGCTCTCGACCTCCATCTCGACCTTGACCTTGACCTCGATCACCGTCATCAAAAGAATCCTCTGTGGTCAGGCATGTCCCTGATTCCCGGCCGCTCTTCCTAGCATCTCCCTGGGTGAGCCGCTGCACAATAAAGGTGCTTGTTCATATTCTGAACATTCAGCACGAGCGAAATAGATGAGGGTCAGGTGTCGTTGATGCGCGATTGAAAGGTACGCGAAGAAGGACACTGGTTGTTGAAGCGACTCGGCGTCGGCGAGTACAATTGCCAAGGTCAGTTCAGGCGGCTTAGGTTCGCGTCAAACATGCCAAGCAAATTTGCTCACAGCGATACACGTGACCTTAATACAATTTTGGTCGTTGGCGGGGTTCTAAATGTGGGTCTGTCACTGCCATCTGGCATCTGCTCGTGCGGCGGAGTCACACAGGAGTCACGAACCTGACAAGTCTCAACTCCTGAATATACAAGTCATTCAGTCAGGGGTAAGTGATTGTCGCTGGCGCAACTGACTCTGAGGCATTCTCTTTTTGCCTTCTCTTCAAAGACTCACCGTCGTCCATGAGCGCAATGTCCCACCCTAGAAACCCCTCGAAAACCGAACTTCCCACCCGAGAGAAAGAGCCCAAGACTAAAGCCGGACAGAAGATGGAGGCAAAGGGTGCTCCCGAAAAGCCGATTGGCAAAGCGGAAGCGAAACTTCCTCAGAAATCAGGTGGAAAGAAAAAGAAGATGGAGGGAGCTGCTTTGATTGGCATTGATGTGTCCAAAGACGTCGACTTCTCGGAGTGGTATCAGCAGGTCTTGCTGAAGGGAGACATGCTTGACTACTACGATATTTCCGGCTGCTACATCCTCAAGCCTGCATCGCAATTCATTTGGGATGAAGTCAGAGCCTGGTTTGACGCAAGGATTAAGAAGATGGGTGTCAAAAACTGCTCGTTTCCTCTGTTCGTCTCCGAAGACGTGTTGAATCGTGAGAAGGCTCATATCGACGGGTTCGCAGCCGAGGTGGCGTGGGTGACGCACGGAGGCAGTACCAAGTTGGAGAAGAAGATCGCCATTCGCCCTACTTCCGAGACTGTCATGTATCCTTACTACGCCAAATGGATCCAGAGTTACCGTGACTTGCCTCTCAAACTCAACCAATGGAACTCTGTTGTCCGATGGGAGTTCAAGCACCCGCAGCCATTTCTGCGCACTCGGGAGTTTCATTGGCAGGAAGGCCATACGGCGCATCTGACCGAACAGGAGGCGGGCAAGGAGGTCCTGGAGATTCTCGACCTGTATGCCCAGATCTATGAAGAGCTCTTGGCTGTCCCCGTTATCAAAGGGAGGAAGACGGACAAAGAAAAGTTCGCGGGTGGATTGTACACCACCACTGTCGAAGGATACATTCCTGCTACGGGCCGTGGGATTCAGGGAGGTACCTCGCACTGCTTGGGACAAAACTTCAGCAAAATGTTTGGCATCACGGTACAAGACCCCAACGCAAAGACTGAGGAAGAGAAGAAGAACCAGCTGTACGTCTGGCAGAATTCTTGGGGACTGTCGACTCGAGTCATTGGTGTAATGGTCATGATCCACGGTGATGACCGAGGCCTGGTAATGCCGCCTCGCGTCGTCGAAGTCCAGGTCGTCATTGTGCCGGTCGGAGTGACAGCCAAAACCACGGAGGAGGAGAGAGAAGCATTGTACAAAGAAATCGAAGGACTGGTGGAGGTCCTCAGAGCCGTCAATGTCCGAGTGGAAGCGGATTTCCGAGAGGGATATTCTCCGGGATGGAAGTTCAATGACTGGGAATTGAAAGGCGTTCCCCTTCGTTTGGAGTTCGGGCCTGGAGAGAGCAAGGGCCACTACGTCACCGCGTCTCGACGAGACCTTCCGAAAGCTGAGAGCAAGAGTCAGATTGCCATCAGTGAACTCAACGCTGCCGTCCCGGAGCTGCTGGATACCATTCAGAAGGACCTGTACGAGCGCGCAGACGCCAAATACAAGTCGCACATCAAGAAAGTGACCAATTGGGATGACTTTGTTCCGGCCCTGAACGACAAGAATGTCATCCTTTTGCCCCATTGCCTGACAGAGGCATGCGAGGACCAGATCAAAGAGAACAGTGCTCGTAAGGCGGAAGAACAGAGCGGCGTCCCTCAAGACGAACGAGCTCCAAGCATGGGCGCGAAGAGTCTTTGCATTCCATTCGATCAACCAGAAGGCATCGAGAAGGGAGTGACCAAGTGCGGAAATCCAAATTGCTCAAACCTAGCTGAGGCATGGTGCATGTTCGGCCGGTCATATTAGTTTGGAGAGGGGGGGGAACAGAGAAAGACAAGACGGGGATGGCATGGTGGTAGACTTGTGTTAGACGACGATATCCCGGGGCGAAGAGCATTCCGCAAATGGGTTCTCGAGGTGACAAAAGCGGTCAAGACGACAGCATGCATTCATTGTTTGACTCAAAATGTGCCTGATCACGAGGGCCACGTCGACCATATCAGCTGTCACTGGGGCAGCAGTGGAGGGTGTGTCGGTGTTTGACGACAAGAGACGAGGCTTGCTTAGCTTTATCAGACGCTGCACTGGCGACGCACAAGAGGTGCTTCTCCGCTTATGGTTGGTGGTGTGGTCCAGGAACAGGATAAGATCAACCAGCTGCGGCCCCTGCAGCCCAATGGCAGCAAGCTTTTTCTAAGCGTCTGCTATCAGGAGGTGCTTGGCCTGTATCAAGAGCCCACTCCCTAGACGATAAGCAGCGTTGGAGTCCTCATTAGACAGCAAGAGAAGGGCACTGCTCACGATAGACCAAGCCTAGATGGCGTCAGATGAGGAGAAAGAAAAGAAAAAAAAAAAAAGGATACAAAAGCAGCTCAAGGATCCCTCGGTCGCCCCCCTCTTTGAACTGACTCAAACACCGCGGCCAGTGTCATCAGCGTATATGTGAACGTGGCCCCCGTAGCAAGGAAACTAAGGAATCCTTTTTCTTCTTCCTTTGCCCCTCATCGTTACCACTTTCCACACGGCGCTGGCGTGGCCTAATAGATCTCAGTGCCCACGGGTTCTAGGCGGGCTTCCTTTCTTCTTCCGGGGGCCCGTTCAAGCCCATTCTCCCTGTTTTCCTTGCTTCTCGCTGCTTGTCTTTCGCTTCCTGCCTCGCTCTCGCCGTTGCCGCTGGTTCGGCTGGCGCCTTTGTGTGCCTGCGACCTGAGCCCTTGCAACCTTCGCCTCTACGCCAATGCGAGCGGGCTGAACATGCCAATTTTGGCTGGGCAATATTTTTTTTGGATTGATTCCAGATGGGCAGGAACCATCACCATCTTCGACTTCCTGAACATCTCTACCTTTCACCTCCTCCTCCACCTCCAACTCCGCCGTTCTCTTTCGCCTCTGTTTCCCTCCTTGCTGTCAAGTCCGCCGTCTACTTCTCTCCTTCTGCGGTCTTGTTCCAGGAGCCAGGTCGCACCAAGGCCTTTGCTGTCGGCGACCGCATTCCGGGCTTCAAAATTTCTGCCGGTAAGAGCACGACACACATTTGCTTGTCCCATTCTCAAGCGAAATGGTAAAAGTAGGCGGGCAAGAGAAATGAATTGTTCTAATAGATCACTCTCGACAGCCTTCTTTACGACGCTCCGGGCAAATCTCATCCTCGACCTCGAGTCTGCCCCGCCATCCTTGGCCAACACGCCAGACATTTTAAGACCGACCGACATGGCTTCATCCGGCAGTCTGCCTCCTCCCTCCCCTCTCGCGCAAAGCTCTGAGGCCGGAGGTGAGACGACCGCTGCCCTCACTGAGAAGCAGGCAGATCCGCTCGGCTCGCTTCCGGAACTTAGCACTAAGCTTGCCGCTACTGAAGACGACAAGGTCGAAGCGCTGCACTTGATCGCCGACTCTATTGCTCAACAGCGCCAATTAGCCTCGGCAACCGTGATCTTCCATCCTTTGACTCTCTCGGCACTGGTCCTTCTTCTTGGCCTTGCGTATCAAAATCTTTACAAAGGCGCCTCCTCGGATTGGGCGATTATTGGCACAACATCGGCGGGCATCCTCATGGCTGTGCTTATTACCGTGCGCTGGCTCACAAGTGGCTACATTTTCGAGGCCGAGCGAGTAGGGACCTGGAAATGGCTGAATGACGGCCGGGATAATCCGGACAAGAGCATCGTGGGTTCCGAAGACGAAATCCTACTGACACGATTCGGCGGTGATATCATCGGAACAATCATTGTTCGTGGCGTGCGCGATTCTTCTGGTGCTGCCGGCAAGTCACGCAAGAATGCGCCTGTCACTGGATACATACGCGCATGGACTGTCAAGCGGCGGTATCGGCGCAAAGGCGTGGGACAGGGTTTGCTCGAGGAAGCAATCGCGCTGTGTCAGCAAAAAGGGTGGAGCGGTCCGGAATTTGCAGACGACCATGCCAACTCGGCGAATGTCCTCCATCCGACTTTTTCGGGTGGGCTCAAGAAGAAGGAAAAGCAGGCGAGGGAGATGTTGGAGAGGGTGATTGAGGAGAGCAGGTCGAGTGCCAGTGGCAAGAAGGGCAAGAGATAAGACCCGGACGACATGTCGACAAGAATTGTATTTTTGTGTGTATTGAAACGATAATGCTAGATATACCCAGCGGCCAGGTATACCCTGAGGTGGAAGAGAGATCTTGGATGATCGAGTAATTGGACAGATACTGGACCTGGGCGAACACAGCACCGTTCGCCACCTCAACCCTCCATCCCTTTCCAGAGTTCACCTCACCTTGGTCCGTCTCTCTCTTTTCCTCAAGAGACTCATGGACGACCGCCGTACTTGCTCATCCCTCTGATACCTGATATCCCATCCCTGATATTGGATACCCGATACCGATACCGATACCTGATACGCGAGCATGGACATGGCAGAGAATCAGCCACGCGACGGCAAGACCCAGACGGGCCAGCCGAGCGGGCGGAGGCAGCAAAGCCTGACTTCCCTTTCTGCTCCAGAACTCAACTCAACCCGCTGGATTGGATCGAATTGCCTTCTTTCGTGCGGCGGGTGGGTGCAGTCCATTCCCAGTCCCAGTCCCATTCATCGAGAGATCCCCCCCCCCGGCGCCCCCACATCTTGGTATCTCAGTATCTTGGTACATATCTTGAAGCATATCTCAAAAACGGACATTGCACCGCATCGCACGTAAGAAACTCCGATGACCCTGTGACTCTGCGTCTCGTCGAGTCAACCATGACATTTTTGCATGTTGCGGTTCCTAGGTAGTGTTACAAGAAATATTCCCCGACGGGCTTTTTCGCAGGCATGCCTCTGGTTCCCTGCGGCGCCGCCTCGAATACTCTATATCTCCTCCCCGGGGTCGCGAGATTCCAGAGTACGCCGGTCCCACCACCACTCCCATCGCCTCCCACGGGTTCTTTCCGACCTTGGTCGCCGTTCGCCCTCTGTATGCAGCCGCCATTCGACCCGTCCTCGCCCAACTCGAGAATTGCAGCCACGTTTCCACACCTGTAGCAGTAGTTGGGGGCGCTCCATACTGTCACGATCGTCTTGTCAAACATCTCTTTGTACCCTTCCATGACCAGCTGATGCGCCCGCGCAATCAATGACAGGTCGTTGTTGTGGTTGAAATGCCTCACGATGTCTGCGCCAAAGAGAAAGCCTGCGCCTCGCGGGCTAAGCCCCCATCCTTCGATCTCGTCCGGGTCGGACCAGAGGAGATCGCACATTGCGCCTTCATGAGGGACTTCTTGCTTGCGGTCGATGAGACGGATTTTGTCCACCGTTTCAACCAAGGGCGATAAACCGCCGTGGACGCAGAGGACTGCGCCGGTTGAAGATGTGGGCGGTTGGAAGAGCGAGGGAGGTGGTTGGCTGGGTGATGACTGAGACCCGTCCAGCGATGAGGGGAGGTCGACGTCCGGAGCGGGAGATATTCGACTGCCGTCACTGAAGGCTTGTGATGGTTGGGAATTCATCGAAAGACCAGCGAACTGGCGACGGAGGGTTTTGGAGATGATTTCGCCGTTGGCGTTGAGGACTTCGGATTCGAGGTCATCATCCTCTGAAGGGAGGGTGGATTGCGTGTTGCTCTCGTTCATAGAAGCGGTCATGCCCCCCGTCGGAGGTGGAACGTCGGTCGTCGCGCCCAGAATCAACGCCCCCAGCGCCAAATAATCAAACACCTCGCAACAATACCGCCACACGTTCGCACTGCCATATTTCCTAATACATTCATCGTAGAATCCGTAGACGGTGGTGATCTGCCTCGACTCATGATTGCCCCTAATAAGGGTGATCCGATCCGGGTATCTGACCTTCAAGCACAGAAGCAACAGGAAGCTCTCCAGGCTGTAGAAGCCCCGATCCACAAAGTCACCCATAAACAGATAGTTTGTGTCTGGGACGTCGCCGCCCACGCGGAAGAGCTCCATGAGGTCGTGGAACTGGCCATGGATGTCGCCGCAGATGGTGACGGGGGCATCGACGCTGACGACATTGCCTTCTTCGATGAGCAGTTCGCGGGCCTTGTAGCAGAGTTCGCGGACTTGGGGTTCGGGGATGGGGCGACACGCGCGCAACTGCGCAATGGCTCTGAAGAAACCGGTGTGTCAGTAGAAGTATTCGAGAGATTGTAGCCGAGGCACACACTTACTTGTCGAGGTCGCTCATCACCGCAGCGCAGATGAGGAGGAGAGTCTGGTGTTAGAGCACATGGATATGAGATGCGTGCCTCGAGTCCGACTCTGGGTGGCGGTGGGATAGCGTCAAGTAGATAGGAAATGAGTCAACGAATGGCGACCGAGGCGGCTAAATCGAGGTGTCGCTGTTGGTAAATGGTCAAATGCTGAGAGCAGCCGGTGAGAGGACAGACTTCTCGAGTTCCGTTCACTGATCGGGGTGTCGCACGGTATGTAATGTATCACGCACTGCGATCGATGGCTTGCCCGACATGGGATTTTGATACGCAACGGCGATCATCTCGGGAGATCTTCGGCAGAGCAAAGCTACGGCGAAGCATTCAGGCATTGAGATGATCTCCGCACTGCATCCGCCAAAAATGAAGCCTGTGAAAGTCGAAGCTCCGAGCATGAAGAGTCCTTGGTAAAGTAACTTCGGCTTCCTGGACAGCCTCTCCCCTCGATTTCTTCTGAGAGTCGAATCGAGCGCTCAATTCTACTAGGCTCTCAACCTCCCCGGTCCTTCAATCCATCCTTGTCCAGTCCTGCCTAAGATACTCGTTCATGGCGAACGGCCAATAAAGATTCACACCACTTCAGAGCTCCTCCCGCACCACCCAGTAAAGCAACAAACCCCCTTCAGAAAGCACAAAGACGAGGACGTGCAAAGAAAATAAATATGCCACCTCATCTACACCCGCGTTCTACGGCAACATCGACCCTCTTTGCCGGGACACTCCTCGCCTCCTTCATCGTCGTGGGCATCCCTCACGTGTTCCCCTGCCCAAGGCCGCGGACGGGATATGCGGCGGATGCGGGGCGGATAGAGCTGGACGAGGACGGAAAACCTGTGCGACGACAAGTTAAGCAAGGCACTAAATCAACAACTACGGGGAGGCTATCAGAAGGCCAATGCGCATCGCAAGTTGCAGAGGAAGATCATCAACAACAGCAGCAGCAAATACAGCAGCAACCTCGCAAAGCTCCGCAAGCTCTGCGACAGGGCCTGGCCACGACGAAGAATCTCGACGAGGAAGCCGCCTTGTTTAGGGAACTCCAAGCCGAGGCAGACGCATTGGAAAAGGAGGCCAGGTCAGCGAGGGAATGTCCCGTGCCGAAACCGAGGGGATGGGTCGGGAGGATCCTCGGATTCGAGGACCAGGATACGAAAGTGGTGGACAAGGAAGGCGGATGATGGGAGAAGTGAATGGACAGGATCCAATGAGAAGAGATCACAAACGACCGCGTCAGTGGGCGGGGAGAGAAAACAGAGATCTTTGGGGAAGAGAAAAAAGCTATGATGGACCCGAGCGACCGCCTTGCAAAGCTGGAACCGACCCAGCTATCTCCCGGTATCAAAGGACATATGTCCCGATATCCAAGAGGCGGCAAGCAGGAGAGCCGATCGACGTGGGCTGCAAGAGTCTTCTCAGCGCGACAGATGGTGCTGCCGGCGTCGGCACTGGTGTATGTTCTCCGCGGCATGTATACTCCATACGACCATATGGAATCCACAACCTCTACCTACAATCCAACAACGTCGGCACTTGGGGGGGTGGGAAGGAGAGAGAAAGAAATCAAGGACATCCCGAGTCGAATCCGAGTCAACCTCATCCGGCGCTGGAGCAACCACGGTCGCCATCCACATTCACCCGCTTCCGCCGATAAAGATCACCGTGGCCACCCGCCGGACAACGATCAGGCGGATTCGAACCATCCTGTCAACGTTCAGTATGGATGGCAAACGTCTATTCTATCTGTCCGACGTCGATTGTGGCGCGGGCGGATAAAGCCCGTCACAATGAAGGAGACAGGCGCGATAGGCAAGGAGAGGAGCACACGGGGGAGAAGTATGATCATCGTCGTATCTTGACTCACTCACTACATATCGCCTTTTTTTTGTTCCCTATTATCCAAAACTTTTGCCTAACCATCCGACAGCCTCGCCTGACTTCCACGGCTTCTGACATTGGCTGTGAAACCATGAGACACAACATCAAAGGAGAAAAGGAAAAGCTAATCAAACACATCTCCAACTCCCCTGCCAATGCATCGCAACATGTCGCCCATGCCACCTCAAACCCTTCCACTCAGACTCCGTCTCCCTGAACACATTTTCCCTGTCATGGCGCCATCTCTCTGCCTTGACTCAGCCCTCCATTTCCCTGTTGTTGATATCCTTCAATATCATCCCCGTCTTCCAATCCACTCCTCTTGCAATCTTGGTCATCCGCTCAAACACAGGCCGCCCAACATATCTCCAGAATCCACCTGCTCGAACACATGTCTCCCGCTGCTCGTTCTCAAATCTTTCCAGATCATCTTTCACCAAAGCCTTTAGAGCCACGATGATGGCAGGAATTCGCTGTGGAGAGGAGGAAGCGGCCGCTTTATTGGCTCCTGCTCCGACACCACTCTTCCTTCCACCAACGCCACTGACAAAAGCAACAGCAGCACCGGCAGGACAACCACCAGACCGAACATGTCCTACATCAACCCCAAGCTTTACCAAAACAGCAACGAGCAGATCTTCCATCTCACCATCGTCAGCATCACCATCATGCACACCTTCACTGAATCTCCTCTTCTTTCCGCTGCCGCCAGTGCATCCAACCGTGCTCTTGCGCCTTTCACGCTCACTCTTCCTCCTCTGTGCAATACTGGACAGCAACGTCTTCTTGTGTGCCTCAATGCTTGACATGAAACCCATGTTTCTTGCAATAACCTCTTCAATGGTCTTGTCGCTCGCCAGTGGATGTGTCGCACCGGGTTGTCCGCCGGTGTTTGCAGTGTCGCCGTGCAAGACCTCTGCAACGAATGAGACATCTGCCGTCCGGACGTTGATGATGTGTTTCTGTTGGTTCTTAGCAGCCTTGAATTGCGACTTTGCTACTTTGGCAGCCTTTTTAAGTGCTCGAGTTTCGGCCTTGGTCGGTTTCGGGGCACGCATGAGCTGTCGGTCACTGTCGTCAGCCGCGCTAGTTGTGGTGTTGGCCACAGTTCGAGCGTCGTCGTCGTCGCCATGCTCATTTTCGTCTCCGAAGTCACCATTGCCAGCATCGAGGTGGTGGACGGCTTGCTGGAAGTAAGGGAGGTTGACAGGCAATGCTTCCAACTGCGTCCTTGTCCTCGCCTTGTCTGGACCTGTGCCGTTTGAAATCTTATACTCTGCGAGAAGTTCCGCAATCTTTTGGGACATGAATTTGCAAATGTCAGCTAAGTATCCTCAATCTCTTTCACCACATGCCAATTGTCACGAAGGTTGATGTCACGGGAGAAAGCCGGATCTATGTGGGACTTTGCTAGTGTTGCTCACCTTTCGATGTCTGTTCTCATGCAATTCGTCGGCTTGGATGCAGGAGAAGCAGTTGTGGCTTGTGCCGATTGCGTGCATGGTCTGGTGGTATCGAAAACAAGGGATACTATGGATGCCATAGCATGTTTGTCTCGCCTTGGGGTTGCTCATCTTCATGGAACAAAGGTAACAGCTGTGCTCTATAGATGTGCGACACGTGACATGGATTTAGCTTGGACTCTCCGCTCATGTCAAGATATGGCAATGTTTCAGGAGGAAAAGGTGTGATTTCAGATTCAATTGCTTACCGAGTCCAGAGGCCGCTTCCCATTTGAATGGGCTGTTGGGTGCAGCTGGATCCATGGTCGCGGGCTGCTTCTGTTTCGTACGCCGGATATATCTGTCTGTGACGGTGCGGTGGAATTCTTCTACTCTTAGCTGTGCTGTTGATATTGTAAGGGATGGAACTATTTCAGAGACAGAGCGCAACAGGCACCAAAATGCGTGGTTGATGGACACGTGGGGATGATGTTTTGGGAGGTTGTGTTGTGTAGGCCGGGAGAAAGGAGCCCGGTGAGGCAGCGAACGCCAAACAGACACAAATGTGCTAAGGTGAAGAGCTATGGCGCATGTGCGCAGCACCAAACAGTGAATGTAGGAGACGGTCGAGAGGCATCGGGTGTCAGCGGCTGGACCTGGAGTCTTGCAGAAGATGAAGTGCCTGCACACCAGATTTTGGATGGACGTCAGACAAAGGCGTCAACAGACAGGCGGTGTTTGGCGGCATGTAGACTGACTCCGCCAGTTGCCACAACAAAGGGAGAGAGCATGATGTTAAGGTGTGAGGTGTACGAGCGACGACGTGAGGGATAGACAGTGGTATGGTACATGAGATCCAGGTCGTTGCTGGCGTTTCGGGCAACTGCAACTCGGTGGAGATGGTCAGCTGTACGATCCCGCGGACAAAGATGAGCGAAACTAGAAGAAGATATACAACGGAGAAGAGGAGAGAGGAGCAGGAAGACGAGCGTCGAGCAGAGAGGTTTTGATTCATTGCCACATCGCAGCAAGCAAAATGAGTGTCAGCTTGATGACCATGGGCCATTACTTAAGATACCAAGTTTGCTAGAGCCACCCAGAGGAAGGAGCGACTTTTTGGCCTTTGCCGCGGTTCGAAGATAGAGCGTATGATTCCCAAGTTTGCTTTCAGTTCGACAGAGATGCCCGCAGCGTGGCCAGAGGGACGAACCACTTCAGATTTCCAACAGTCAAGAAAGATGAAGAGGGCGAAAAGGAGACTTGTGGCAAGCAAACTGAAACGTCGGGCGCTTGCATTCCAGTCCGCATTCCATCGCCGTTCAGACGGCCACGTCCCTGACAAGTCTGGCCGTGCACCAGACATAGGGATAGTTTCGCTGATACCAGTTGACAAAGGTCTTCTTCAACGCGATTCGTGGCACTGTGGCCCAGCTTCCTCCAAGACAAACATTGTGCTTGTCATCGAAGAAGTCGGCCGTGTACCCGGGATACAGGTCCATGGCCTTGAACCCTTCATGCGGCGCCAACGGTGTGCTGGTCCATTCCCACAGGCCCCCAAGATCGCTTTGTCCACAGAGCCGGTCGCCGTGGCCTGTCACGGGCATTGGATGCCAGTGTCGGAAGGCAACATTGCGATCACCCAGTTCGATAAAGAGCTCCTTGGGGTCCAGCAGGGGACCTTTTGCACTGCCGTTGACCACACCATTCGACCACTGGCTCGATGGCGGGGTCTCCTGCACGCCATCATTCGAGAGATGGCTGTATTGATCAGCGCGACATTCAAATTGCTTCATCAAGCACACTTACCCGTTCACCGCTGAAATCAACTTACTGGTAACCTTCTGGAGGACGCTATCTTGGTTCTCAACGTACTGGTAAAGGCTTCGTGTCTCTTCCAGCGTAGGGATGCGTCCGTTGGACCATTCGGCGTAGGCAGCCAATTCGTCGTACGAAGCCATGACGGGCCAATCCAGAGCATATTTAAGAGGAACGAGGCCGTAGACGGTTCGAATAGCCTTGCCCTCGACGAAAGTCGGACTGGCCATCTCTAGCCCATCCTGGACATGGCCGTTCGTACCATTTGTCCCGTTGGTCCCGTTGAGATCTTGACCTGCTTTGGATGCTGTCCAGGACGCTGGCAGAGAGTCCTTGTGTGTGACTTCCAAGAAGCGAGCGTATTCACCATTGCTGATTGGGCGACTTTGAGCCTCGAACTCGTGGACAGCCACGTTGCGCGATGGCCTCTCATTGTCCCAGCCAAAGTACCTATCCGGGCCCAAGTTGTTCTCCGGATCGTCCAAGCCAATTTTAACCTTACTCGCGGGAATGCGGTGCCATTTGTTCGGGGTGCGGCTCGCGCGAGCCTCTGCTGCCAAGGCTTTGAAGTCTGGCAGGCCTCGTCCTGGTGGCGGCAGAACGCGCTCGCTCTGGAGCAACATGTAGAGGAAGGTCTCCAAATGCATTGCCTCATGCTCATAGGCAAGCCAGAGACCTCGACTGAGCTTGCGATCGGTGTATGCTCGGCCAGACAGAATGCTCTCGATGATACGTTCTCGAACACGGTGCGAATATTTCAAAATCTCGTGCAAGGGCGGCCAAGAGTCCGGGATCTCACTGTGATCATGACATAGTTCGGGATTGTCCACGTCTAAGGCGCCTTCAGCCCTTATCCCTGGGTGAATGGCGGGCTGAGGACGTACCTGGATCGATGCCTCGCTCAAATATGGTCATATAGTATGCAGGGTCTGTAGCCTCCTCTTTTGTCGCCTTCATATAATGAATATCTACAGCGGGGTGAGTTTGATACGGAGTAGTGGCCATCATCTTCACATACCTGCGAACGTAGGGATGTGACCCAGATAAAAGATCAAGTCATTTCGCAACTTGATAGGTTTGTTGAGGAGCTCGTCCTTCGGGACCATAGATTTAGTCACTGTATCCCAAGCTGCCCAGAGCTGTCGCCAATCGTCGAGCGAAGGGACGGGGCTCGCGGCGAACTCTGCTGGCTTTGCGGGGAAATTGATCGTGGACGGCGATAGAAGATGAATGTCTGAATAATGCAGTCAGTATAAAGTCGTGTTTAGTGCCCACTTACTTACAATAGTCATTAGTCTTGTTGGCGTATGATGTCTGAGGGATGAGCCCGGCACCATGCCATAGAAGATCACGTTCCGCCTCGGAGTACTTGAAAGCGTCCTCCAGATGGATTTTCTCGCCTTTGTCGAAGGAAAAGTCTTTGCCTTTGATCGTCTTCACGGCCACGTATGAGGCCTGATGCTTGTTAAGCTTCTCGTCATACAGGCCTTCAATCTGCCACTCATCCTGTCGGAAAGCTTCGTAGCCCAGGATGTTGTTAGCATGCATGAGCCCGTTGCGGTAAAAGTGCTCGGTCACATTCATTGAGTCGTTATAGGCACGGAAGACGCGGTCAGGCTGCTGGCATGCGTCGATGCCCACCATGACAAAGTCCGATGGAGCTAAAACCTTCTTGAACGACGCGAGGAACTGGGCAGCCCCTTCTCGAGTGAAGTTGCCCACGGAAGAGCCCATGGTCATAACACAGGTACTCCGGGTATCAGTAGCGGATCCCTGCAACCACGAGAGAGCATCGTCGTAGGTACCATGCAGTGCCCGGAAAGTGACATAGTGGAAGTCGGTGATATCCAGCTGGGCAAAGGTGCGTTTGAGCTCGGACAGTGAGAGATCCAAGGCATAGTACTCGACGTTCTTTCCAGCCTCCTCGAATGCTGTCAGAAGGATGTTCACCTTGCGGAGGTTCCTATTGGTTCACTCCATGTCAGCCCTGACAAGATACATCGTCTGACGGCGAGAACTCACCCACTGCCCAGTTCAACCAGACGAACACCGTCTGGAAGCCGCTCGACAATCTTGCTGGCATGTATTGTGAGAGTCTCTATTTCCGCGTTGGTGAGGTAGTAGTCATCCACATAGGTGATCTCCTCAAACAACTTCAGACCCTTTTCTACAATTGTTTAGTGTGTGCCTCAAACAACGAGAACCTCTGTACCGTCATAGAGCAGCAAGGTTGGAAAGGTGCGCGGCTGCCCCTTGGGAGGATTAAGAGATCGCTTAAGCGTCTCGAGAAGGGAGTGGTCAGACTTGTCCCTCCTAATGTCGAGAATCGGCACACCAGCTGAAGTGTGGGTGGCCATGGTCACGAATGGCAGACAAGACGAGGCGGGGTGATGAAGTCCGAGTCACAGGTTGATATCTGACCGGGGGGGCAAGACCAAAATATACACGGCAGAGTAAAGAGAGATGGGAAAGAGATTCACGACGTTGAATCCACGGGAAACAACAGCTCGACGTATGCTGGATCAGGTTCCACTTTTACCCCGGGAATGGTTGGACCATTGGCCAGGCAGGGCAAGTCATGAAGTTGCCAATAGGAGCAGGTCTAAGTTTACTCCACCGAATGGCTGAGGCTTTTCTCCAGCCTCTGAACCTGTAAGAAGGTGTACCTGAGTGGCTGTGGAGTAGAGAAACGCGCCGGAACCGTGGCGAGGATGCAGGCCTTGACGTTATGGATGCGAGTAGCACGCATGATCAGTCAACAAAGACAGGCCACCTCCAAGACTTGAGAAGGGGGGGGGGGCAGACATGGGGGTTCACTTGAAGTAGCCGCAGAGATTTCATGATCAGGAACGAGGCAGAACGGTAGGTGATTCGAGGATCACGACGGGACTCCTAGCGAACCGCTCTAAGGCAAACGGAGCCAAAAATGTGGAGGGAAGCCCGGCAGTGCTGACAATGACGACACGACCCAGAGTCCGAAGCCGAGTAGGCACAAAGCTGTGTGTACATCCACTCTTCGAAGAGCTTGAGCAGGATGGTGACGACTAGGATCGGAAGTAGGAGCACAAGCTTGGTGTTGGCATACCTCGTACAGGGGGGGTTTAGGGGAAGGCTGGCGCCATGAGGGGGTGAATAGAGGAAAGGAGGGGCAACGGCCCGTGACCCAGGAGACTAGCCCGCTTTGGGCACCCGTAGACGTAGCACACAGTGAACTAGGACAGGTACTAGCGAGCTCGGAACTTCGTGCGGTAATTCTGCAACAGCGTGAATGGCTGTCGCGTATCTTTCTAATACTCACCAGGGCACCAACAGGCGCCAGGCCGGAAAGAAGGAAGAAGGACCAGTAAGCCAGAGGAAACACGGAGTAAGCCTGGTGAGTGAGCCACCGGAGCCATTGCTTCCATATTCCATAATCACAATTGACTACTGGGTACTACTACCACGACCAGCTAAGCATACCTAGGTAGGTGCCTGGGTGCTATACGGTGCTATACGCAGCAATAAAAGCGGCATCGCCTCTTCTCCGAGCCCTCCGAGTATCAGTCATACACGGCAACTCGGAGTCCCTTGGAGCCGTACCGAGCAAACCGAGTAGAATTCCCTGTACTTGATATTTTTGTTCGTCGAGGACCGAGACTCTCGGGGCGGAAAATCAAATGACCGCACAGTGCGCTAATAATACCGCTACTCCCAATACGGTAAGAAAATAATACCCATTAGAGTACTGGGTAGGCGCGCACTCCACAAGCCTCACGGTGAGCTTCAGAGGCACCATTGAAGTTGTCCACATCCTGCGCATCCCACGCTGCGTACCGAGTACACACGCCTGCAATTGTCTTTCCAACGCGTCTCTACATACCTCGTACCTCGCATGATAACATAATTCTATCTTTTCCCTGTACCAATCCCACCGACCTCAATCTGTCCATGTTGGCCTTGGTCCCGATGATGGTCGTCCGTGCTTCGTCCCGTCCATTTGCTTGACCGACCCGCACATTCTCCCCCTTCCATCGGGATTCCCTTGATTCCAAGTCAATCGTCATGTCAAAGTCGGGCAACCTCGCCGCTCTGTCGGCCATCCTCAACCCCGGAGAATCACCTACCATCTACTACGCAGAGGACCCTCCCTATCTCCCTCGAATCCTCGTCTTCTACTACCCCGTCCAAGCTGTGGGCTCTTTGGCCTCAACCTCGCGCATTCGAACTACCATCCTCTCCGCCGCCGGATTCAAGAGCTATGGGGCATTCTCGGTCGCGCCAAACAGCAGTTACTACTCTGCCGTCCACAAGTTACCGGAAGACAAACAACGAGATGATGTTTCTCGGGGCATTGCTTTTGCACTTTGTCGGTACTTCTCCGAAGTTCCCACCGAAGTCAAAAATGCTATAGCCGAAGAGAATCTGCATCATGGGATAGCTCTGAAATGGGGACAGACCCATGCTGCGCAGGTCACATGCCGAATGAGCAAAGTCATCAATACCGAAGAGATCGTTGAGGCTTTACGTCCCTTTTCCAAGGAAAGACCTCCGAGCCCGCAGACGCCCGTCCGACCTTTAGCTTCCATCAGGAAGACACGGCCATCCTTCCTACCCCCTGAACCTGGCAGTCATGGTTTTGGTCGCATCAATCACGCCTTCACCCCGTCTAAGAGGATACCTAGCGGCCATGCAAAGCGTTCCCCGTCCATATCAACTTCAGCAACACGAAAAGCGAGCGCTACGACCGACCCGAAGCACTCGTTGCAGCAGCTTGAATCATTGCGCTTCAAAATGTGCGAATTTGTGGATACCGAAGATAGATATATTACCCGTCTTCAAGAATTGATCGAACTTGTAACCAACCAGGGACGTACGCCGAAGTCATTGAGCTCCAAGTTCTCGAGTTCGCGGAACCAAAAGGCTGTCAATGCCATGATTCAGTTTCCTTCATTGCTGGACCAGATCAAGGACTTAAATCTTGCCTTCCTCGATGATATTGAGACGGCGCTCCACTGTTCCGAAGATGCTGCTCTGACCTTCTTGGACTCTGCTCAAGCGAATCCTCAGCTCCTCCCAAATGCCAAAGATCCCATGGGCATCTACAGTTTTGCCAAAGTGCTTTTGAATCACTTCCCCAAATTCCCCATGCCCTACAGGGAATATCTCGATCTGCATTCCCAAGTTTCCTCAAATCTCGATCAATTTCTAAGAGAAGGCACAACTTCAATCCAACAGGCACCGTCTTTGCTTATGGAGCCAGCCCAGCGTATCTCGAGATACGGCCTCTACATCGACACTATGCTTCCACATGTGCCTTCAAATTTCACGGTGGCAATCCGAACCTTGGAGAAGGCTCGGAAAATCATCGCCGGGATATGCGAAATGGAACCGGCGGCATCAACCATCCTGGACTCTCTACGCATCGAGCATGAAGCGAAGAGAAAGGGCCTTTCCCCGACTAAACTGCTCTCAGGTTTGACCCGATCGAACGGAACGATCCGGGAAGCGCCAGCGTTGACTGGCAGTGTGAAAGAAAGAGACGGGCCGCGCCTTTTCCCCAGCCTGGGTCGCAGCCTGAGCCGGAGGCAGAAGACCTCGAGACCTGGTCTATCAAGCATCTTATCCGAACAAGATCCTGAGCAAATCAACAATGTACAATCTCGAAACGACGAGAACAGGCCCCTCACATCGTCCTCGGCATTGTCCTTCGGCTCGGCCAAGAGACCGCCCACATCAGGATCTAGCGTTAGTATCACAAACCGCTCCACAGAAAGTGCAAGTCCGGGTCCCAATGCACCTGCTATGTTGTTGCCAAGCAAAAAACGCATTGGCACCGTCCCGACCCTTGTTACAGGAAATACCGTGGCAGTAAGTGTGGGCGACGGAGTTCCGATGCCCAGTTATTCCGAGGCAGGTGAAGTTGAAACTGCAGAGCTTTACAAGGTCCAGCTAGTACGGGTTGAGGAACAGAATTATAAGCTCCTCCAGGAAAATGCCGAGTTGAAGAGGCAGATCAGGGAATGCAAGTGCGGTGGTGCAGTCAGACGGCTATGATTGGGTTTTCTTCCCGGTGAACGTCTTCCTGAGGGACAAACACGACCAAGAAATTGGGTTGAGGTTGGAAGGGGGGAAAACACAGACGATAGACACAACCTAACGAGTTATGACAATTGGGTATGGCATTTCGTGTTTGGACTCATTGGCACTTTTTTCAAAGAGAATGTACTTTTACGCGAGCTGTATGATAGAAGGCTGGATATTGGACTACGAGCGCATTCGTTATCTTAGACAGCCCGCACAGCAGAAAGAGTCCTCCAGCAACCAAGGGACCAAAATTAGAATAATAGTGCTCGAGGCGCCTGAAGCCGGATTTCAGTTGATTTGATTTGAGCTGAGCTGAATTGACTTGATTCAAATTGAATTAAATTGGTTCAGCAGTCCGTCTGTCTACCTCTCCGGCTCTCCTCGCATGGTAGGATACGATAGAATGACAAGCTGCTCGGGAAGCTTAGATTGCTGAGAAACGAAGGACCATTGTCTGTTGATCCTACTATGTATGGACGTTGAACTTTAAGCGGCCTACTATAATGCCTAGGTAGGTACATAGGTAGGCTCCGTCATGGATGCTTGCAAGGCTGGCTGTCCTATGGATGCTGATGCTGGGCAGTAAATGAACCATCGCTTGTTTTTTGTCTGGTTGTTGTACTCATTGCTGCATACTACTACCGGGGAGTCGCTTGTGTGCGAATGAGTGACTTGGTCAGACGACGGACTCTCCAAAAAAGAAACTATCCCATCTATCCCAAATGTTTTTTCCCCTTCTATTCCCATCCTCAGGCGAAGGTGTTCCCACGTATTCATGCCCAAGAACAAAGTTGACTTCGGACTCGCACACAGATCGATTAGTATCCCCACTTTGGCCGGGACTTTTTTTTGCTCCTTTGATCCTTTGACCCTTTGTTCTGCGTGTGGTCCTGCTTGGCCTACCAACCTAATCAGGCCTCGTCCTCATCGTCATCAAAACCTTGCCTAACAGTGGCCCATCCACTCTGATTCCTCTTCCCGTCTCGCTCGGTATTCAGCCTCAGCGCTCTCGCCTTGCTTGGATCATCCTCAAACCAGCATCTCGCCGTGTAGTCATCTGCGACAGTGGTTAATTGGCCATTGTGATGAACCCAGGCCACCGCGGTGACTTCCTTCGTATGACCGTTGATGAGAGGGGTGCCTGTATAGTAAATTGGACATTGGCCTTCCATTTGGACGTCTTGAAACGAATTTGACGTCGATAACGAATTGGAGAGGATGTTGACTGATGAGGCCTGTCGAGGGAGACGGGGTCGTGAGCGGGATGAGGTGTTGGAGCGGGAGACGACTGCAGGACAACGCCGTGCAGCTTTAGTCAGATAACGCTCGTCAGTAGGGAAGATCACCGCGCAATCTTCGCCTGAACCAGCGGCCAGCATTTCAGTATTCTCGCTTGTCTTGCGGCGGAGGGCGAGTTTGTCGTAGAAAGAACCCAGACGCAGTGAGGGATCGCGGAAGCCGTACAACGGACCTAGGCCTTGCCCAGCGGTGCGAGAAGCTCGAGACGGTTGACTTGACGCTAATGACATCTCCGGACATCCGCCGAGCACAAGATGAGCGGTCGAATAGGCATAGATGGTATTGTCTCGGCAGAGAGTATACAGCCTGGAGCCGTCGGTGTTCATGACCACGGACGTCACGCCGAAGGGTCGCAGGACTTCATGACTGTTTGGTTCGAGAGTTGCGGAAACGGGGGTAGGTCTGCCAGATCGCTGTTTGTATGATGCCCGCATATCCCATAGTTTGATAATGGCGTTGTGTTCCGAAGCTGTCGCAAGCATATGTGGGCGCGTGTCGCTAATGAAAGCACAGGTGGTGACCGCAAAATCAACCTTGGAGGAAAGTCCTGCTACTTGACGTTTACCATTCACGTGTTTGAGCTTGTCCCAAGACGTGTGTGCATCCCGTATCTCGACTTGAGCGTTGACTTCTCTACTGTTATTAAGAAGGTGAGGTGCGCGTACGAGGGGTTGGATATTCAATATTCCTTGCTGGGCACACCGTAGATCCCACAGACGGACGCTGCCATCCCGGGAGCAGGTTGCCAGGACGTGATTCCCCGAGCCTGGCTGCCATTGCACGCGTTTTATGGAGCCCGTATGGCCGACCAACGTATGGGTGGCCATCAGTGTGTCCATGTCGATAATTCGACAGGATTGGTCTCCGGACGCCGTTGCGAGGAGTTTATCGTCACATGAAAATTCCATGTCCATTACCGCATTGTCATGAGGATACATGAAGTATTGAATCCGCAGACTACCGGGATCATCTGGGGACCGTTCCGAAGCTCGGTATACTTCGACCAGGCCATCTTCATTTCCGATGGCGACAGATTGTTGATGGTTGAAACTGGCGGCACAGAATGGTAGAGCTCGAGGTCGGATATTGATGGAGGCATTGTTGAAGAAGTCTTCTGGCAGACTGTAGAAATTTGAGGTTTCATGCTGCCATAGATTGCTGTCGTTACCAAAAGGAATCTCTTTTCTTCTCCCCAGTTGTCGTGATAATAACCCCGCCGAGGTGCTTATAGATTGATACCGAGCTACCCTTGGAGGATATTGCAGCAAAGGCGACAATTCTTCTTCTTCATCCTCGTCATCCGTCTCCGAATAAAGAGCGTCATCATCCTTGGCATCTGGCGTCACTCCCTCTCCCGCAGGAGATTCCTGGCTGTTGGGGAATCGATAATTAACCTTGATTGGCGAAGATGGAATCGATGCTATTGACGTGAAGGAGAGCTTCCGCTTCTTTGATGGCGGTTGACAATGTTCGCTCATAGAGACTTCTGAGGACTGATTGGCTCCTGACCGACTGTTAAGGTTGACGGCAGAAAGTTCTCGCAAGGCTTTCCTAGAAGTTCGAACGGAACGCTTTGCGTTCTGGGGTCTCGGGGTAAAAAATCGAGTAAAGCGGTTTGGAGTAATGGAAGGGTTCTTCTTAATTCGACTACTTCGGCGAGGACTCCTGTTCTCGCTGGGTGCAACAGCAAATGTGACAGTCTCCGACCGGACATGTCTCTCCGGTGTATGGTCCATAGAACAAGATCCGGGAGGAGACTCCAAGGATGATGGTCGGGTCGCCATTGGGCTCAAACTCGAGGGCAGATAGCCACTGTGAAGAGTCGGATTGGGAGAGAGGAAGGTGTTGGGTGGCAATTGGCAAGAAAGATGGTGGCCCGAGGAATCTCGAGGCTGGAAGAGGTTCGCGACGCCATCGACCTCGACGCGTAGCAGCAACGCTAGGAGCGCGTCTCTAATTGAGCTACGATGGGAAGGTCAGCCGATCCAAGCCCGGAGAAAATTTCTCCGCACTACCAAGTCTAGGGCTTTGATTGGTGGAACGGACCTCTTCACAGACTGCGTTCGGTGTCCCAAAAAAATTTCCCCATGTCCACACACAACTGAGCCAACAGGCAAAGATCACACACCAGGACGAATTCAAGTCCTGTTGGATTGCGGCATCCCTCACCGTAATGCCCTAAGACACTCCTTTTGCCTCAATCAACATGCCTTCTACAAAGCGAAAATCCGAAGATGCGGCGACAAAGCATCCAAATAAACGGCCAAAGTCGAGTTCCAATTCGAAGAGCGGAACAGCCACAGCGGAACAGGAACAGAACAAAAGTCCAAACCCGAAACCAGCCTCTGTTCTTACCAAAGAACAACCTGCATTTCCCAGAGGTGGTGCGAGTTTGTTAACTCTCCTAGAGCGTAAGCAAATTCGAGCAAGGGTAGCCCAAGATGCGGACACAGAACAGAAACCTCCGCAGGAACTCTTCGGAGGCCGGGACACAAGGGCCGATGTTGACGCCGACGAGGGCAATAATTCCGAAGTGGATTTGTCGGCGAAGAAACGAGAAAAGAGACGACGAAAAGCTAAGAAGCTGTCTGCGTCCTCTGCAGGTGCTACGAACCCCGACGTTCAGATCGGAGGTCTCAGCCATAAGCGGATAACCACAGACTCTCTTATATTGGGCCAGATCACATCTATAAGCGCAAGAACGCTGACCGTCGCCTTGCCGAACAACCTTGTGGGTTACGTGCCTCTGACTGCAATCTCGCCGCAGCTGAGTGGGAAAATACAAGGCCTTTTAGACCAGATTGACGAAGAAGACAATGACAGCGCAAACGAGCGAGATGAAGAGCAAGACATCGCTTTGCCAAGTTATTTCCACGTTCATCAGTACCTGCGGGTCGCAGTGACCTCCACAGAGCAAGATAGGCCAGGAATGAAATCTGCCACGCGAAAACGAATCGAGTTGTCAGTTGAGCCAGCGTTGACCAATATAGGCTTGGGTCGGTCGAATCTCGTGGCTGGCGCCGTTGTCCAAGTATCTGTGAGCAGTGTCGAAGACCACGGGCTAGTGGTTGATCTTGCACTAGAAGCCAGCAAGGTGCACGGGTTCATCCCCAAAAAACAATTACCCAGGGAATGTTCCTTGTCGACTATTAAAGTCGGCGCTGTTCTACTGTGCCACGTCCTCGAAACGAGCCCCACCAACAAAGTGGTGAAGCTTTCAGCGGACCTCTCCAAAGCACCAGTCTTGAAGACTGCGCCTTCCGTGGATACTTTTCTCCCTGGAACCAAAGCAGAGATTTTGATCAACAATGTCACAGACGCTGGATTGTCAGGAAAGGTCATGGGCATGTTAGATGTCACGGCCGACATTGTTCATTCGGGCTCATTTAAGGACCGACAGGCGTTTCTTGCCCGATACGCAGTCGGCAAAAAGATTACGGGTCTACTAATCTGCAACTTTCCCCTTTCAGAAGTGAAGAAGCTGGGATTTTCTGTTCTAGACAATCTCGTCGATCTAAACAGCAACAACGAGGCTGCCGATGAAGAAAGCGCCAAGTTGACGTTATCTTCCACCATCGAGTCAGCGTCAGTCATTCGAGTTGAGCCAGGACTGGGCGTTTACCTGCAGCTAGACCAGGTTAATATAGGTTTTGCTCACGTTTCTCGTCTCTCGGACAAGAAGCTGGACACGATCTCCGAAGGTAGCGGCCAGTTCAAGCATGGATCCGAACACAAGGTTCGATTGCTTGAATACAACCCTGTCGACAACCTCTACATATTGTCTGCTCAAAAGAGCGTGATTGAACGGCCGTTTCTCAGATTCGACGACGTGCCGCTTGGTGCGGTCGTCGAAGGAACGATCGAGAAGTTGCTAGTCGGTCCGAGTGGAGTTCAAGGCTTACTGGTCACGGTCGGAGAGGGCCTGAGCGGTCTCGTGCCACAGATACACATGTCTGACGTTGATCTGAAACATCCAGAGAAGAAATTCAGGGAGGGCCAGACCGTCACTGCTCGAGTCCTGTCCATTGATCCTATCAGGCGGCGCCTGAAACTCACTCTGAAGAAGGCTTTAGTGAACAATGATCAGAAACCATGGCTCCTCTTTGAAGATATTGAGACTGGCGATTCCACAGTAGGTACATTGACCAAGGTCGACCGCCTTGGTGCGGTTGTCCGGTTCTATGGCCAAGTCAGAGGATTTCTTCCTGTGTCTGAGATGAGCGAAGCATATATCAAAGATGCCACGGAGCATTTCCGGGTCGGTCAGGTTGTCTCAGTAAACGCAATCAGCGTCAATGCCCCCGAAAAGCGCTTGACAGTATCCTGCAGAAGTATCAATGCACTGAACGCCACGATCGAAAGCACCCTTGCGGCATTGCAGCCAGGCACTCTCACCAGTGGTATTGTCTTTGAAAAATCTCTGAACGACGTTTTATTGCGCTTAAACGGATCCGACGCTATTGCACGATTGACCCTGGATCATATCGCTGATGGCTCTCTCCGAAAACGAGAATCTGCACTCAACAAAGTCCGAGTGGGCCAGAGGTTGGAAAATTTGCTCATATTGCAAGTGCTGGCCAAGAGGAGGCTGGTCTTGATTTCTAACAAACAGAGTTTGGTACAAGCTGCGCAAGATGGCACTCTGCTCAAAGGCTACGAACAGCTTCGACCCAACGCGGTCGTGACCGGCTACGTGACGAATATCACAGAGAATGGCGTGTTTGTGGGCTTTGCCGGTGGCATAACTGGGTTAATGACCACAGCTCAAGTACCTGTCGAGACTGAAAACGAGCCAGACTTTGGGATGGCCAAACTCCAGCCTGTAACCGCTAGAATCCTCTCTGTTGATTACAAGGGTGCGACACCTCGATTTTGGCTGACAACCCGAGAGGCTCTCCCTACCGATGGCGACATAACGAGCAAAACTCAGCATCCTCTGGTTTTCCCAAAACTCATCAATCCGGTGGACGCGAGCCTTGAAACCCTTGATGATTTATTCGTTGGGAAACTTACAAAAGCAAGGATCATCTCGGTCAAAGAAACGCAGATCAATGTCGAACTAGCCAAAGATATGCAAGGGCGTATCGACGTGTCGGAAGTATTTGACGACTGGAAGGATATCAAAGACCGGAAGAAGCCATTGAAGCAATTCTCTCCGAAGCAAGAACTTCCTGTCCGAGTCCTTGGGGCGCATGACACGAGAAACCACAGGTTTCTACCGCTAACACATCGGAAAGGCAAAAATACAGTGCTCGAACTCACGTGTAAACCAAGCTCAGTCTCAGGATCAGAGCAAGCCAGATTAACATTGCAAGATATGGCAGTGGGATCATCCTGGCTTGCCTTCATCAACAACATTTCCGACGACTGTGTATGGGTCAATATTTCGCCAACTATCCGTGGAAGAATTCGGGCCATCGACCTCTCAGACGATCTGTCACTTGCTGCCAACGTGCCTCGCAACTTTCCTCTTGGCTCTGCTCTACGGGTCCGAGTTCTCAGCTTGGACGCCGAGAAGGGGCATCTGGATCTAACCGGACGCTCAGACGGCACTGCCAGCTCTTTGACATTCACAAATATTTCCGCGGGACTTGTGCTTCCCGGTCGGGTAACGAAGGCTACCGACCGCAACATCATCGTCCAGCTCAGTGAGCAGGTTGTGGGTGTTGTTGACTTGATTGACATGGCGGACGACTACAGTGAAGCGAACCCTGCGAGGTACCAGAAAAACGATGTTCTGCGGGTCTGCGTGCTCAGAGTGGATGCTCCCAACAAGAAGGTCAATCTGTCAACTCGACCTTCGAAAGTCCTCAGCTCCTCAATGGGGGTTATCGACCGAGAGATCACCTCACTCGATCAATTAGCTGTCAATGACATCGTCCGTGGATTTGTTAGTAATGTGGCAGACAAAGGGGTGTTCGTGACTTTGGGTCATGGCATCACAGCGTTTGTGCGGGTTAGTAACCTGTCGGACAGCTATCTGAAGGAGTGGAAAGATCACTTCCAGCGTGATCAGCTTGTGAAAGGGAGGGTCACTATGGTCGACAAGGCTTCTGGTCACGTCCAGATTAGCTTGAAGGAATCAGCACTGAACTCTGACTACAAAGCGCCGCTTACGTTCAATGACTTGAAAGTGGAAGATATCGTGACTGCCAAAGTTGTCAAGATCGAGCCTTTTGGGGTTTTCATTCTTGTGGATAATTCCGAGAACGTACGTGGCCTCTGCCACCGAAGTGAGATTGCCGAGCAACCAGTCGAAGATGTCGGCAAGCTGTTCAGCGAGGGGGACAAAGTCAAGGCCAAGGTGTTGAAGATCGATCCTGCGAAGCGTCGCATCAATTTCGGCATGAAGGCATCATACTTTGGCAATAATACTGGAGAGAATGCAGAAAGTGATTCCCAGTTTGAGGATGACGCCGAGGACGGTGGCGCGCATCTCGATCAGGAAGAAGAAAGCTCGGACGACGACATGGAAGCACTATTCCAGGATGACGACGAACAAGATTCGGAAGCAGATTCAGAGGACGTTGAAATAAGGCTTGAAGAGGATGCCCACGAGTCAGAAGACCGCCAAAACGGAGGCAGCGCCTTACGGGACGCCACCAGCCCGTCCTATAGCAGAGGTCTCTCCGTGGGTGGTTTTGACTGGTACGGCATCTCCGAAGCCACGGGAAACAAACGAGCAGCCGAAGCATCCGATTCGGAAGGCGGAGACTCAACCAAAGCACCCAAGAAAAGGAAGAAGCGAGCGGCAATCCAAGTCGACCGAACGGCAGACCTGGAT